CCATGGTGTTCACCTGTGGTGCTGGTAAAGAAGAAGGACGGCAGCATGCGGTTTTGTGTTGACTACCGCCGCCTGAACGACGTTATGAAGAAGGACAGCTATCCCTTGCCAAGAATTGATGACACGCTGGACATGCTTACAGGCGTAAAGTGGTTTAGTACGCTGGATCTGAAAAGTGGCTACTGGCAGGTTGAAATTGACCCTAAGGACAAGGAGAAAACTGCATTCTCCACAGGAAAGGGCCTGTGGCAATTTAAAGTCATGCCGTTTGGATTGTGCAATGCTCCAGCAACGTTTGAAAGGTTGATGGAGCTTGTACTTACCGGGCTAATTGGAGATGTCTGTCTCGTCTATTTGGATGACATCATCATCGTAGGCCGTACGTTTGAGGAACACCTTCAAAACCTGGAACGCGTGCTCATGAAGATCCAGAGTGCCAACCTGAAGTTGAGTCCAAAGAAGTGCTCACTATTCAAACGGCAAGTTAGTTTTTTGGGGTATGTAGTGTCGGAAGAAGGTATCCGCACGGATCCAGAGAAAATTGCTGCTGTCAAGGAGTGGCCGGTCCCAAAAGACAAGACACAGGTTAGAGCATTTTTGGGTTTGTGCTCTTATTATCGGCGATTTGTGAAGAACTTTGCAGATATAGCCAAACCTCTGCACAAGCTAACCGAGGAGAAGCGACAATTCTGCTGGGATGAAAGTTGCGATATTGCATTCCAGGAGCTCAAGAACCGTCTGTGCAAAACACCTATTTTGGGGTACCCTGATGTGGGCAAGAAATTCATAGTTGACACAGACGCAAGTGATATAGGACTTGGCGGTGTGTTGTCTCAACGGAATGGTGATCAAGAGATTGTGATAGCGTACTTCAGCAAGTCGTTGTCAAAGCCGGAAAGGAACTATTGTGTCACAAGACGGGAATTGCTTGCTGTGGTAAAGTCCTTGCAGCATTTTAGCAAATATCTTCTAGGGCGGAAATTCCACTTACGAACTGACCATGCTGCACTCCAATGGCTATTGCAGTTCAAAAATCCGGAAGGACAAGTTGCGAGATGGATTGAACTACTGCAGGAATACGACTTTGTGATCGAACATCGCAGCGGGAAATCTCATGGCAATGCAGATGCATTGTCAAGAAGACCTTGCCTTGAAGATTGCAAGCATTGTACTAGGCAAGAGGGTAAGGAAGTGGTATCTGTGAGAATGCTCAGGACAGACCAGCTCAGCAATGAGTGGAAGGAGAGCCTACAACATGCACAGCAGGAAGATTCGGACATTAAGCCGATTCTGGAATGGATGAAGGCCAGTGCTCCTAAGCCCAAGTGGAGCGACGTCTCAGCAATGAGTTCGACCACGAAAAGCTATTGGGCCCAATGGGACAGCTTGCTGATTCAGGATGGAGTCCTGTGCCGTAAATGGGAAAATGGTCGGGGAGACAGTTGTCATTTGCAAATGGTTGTCCCTAAGGCTAAAGTACCGGATGTTCTAAAGCTGTACCATAGTGGTTATTCAGGAGGCCACCTGGGAGTTAAACGAACTCTACTGAAAATCCGAGAACGGTTTTACTGGGTCCACTGTCGTGACGATGTCGAGGACTGGTGCCGCAAATGTACAAGTTGTGTGGCTGTAAAGGGACCTCAAATTCGTAGTAGAGGCGCATTGAAATTGTACAATGTTGGTGCACCGTGGGAGAGGAGAGCCATTGACGTTGCGGGGCCGTTTCCAGAAACTGAAAGTGGTAACAAGTATTTCATGGTTGTGATGGATTACTTCACTAAGTGGCCAGAAGTCTTCGCCATTCCAAATCAAGAAGCTTCAACCGTTGCAGATAAACTAGTTCATGAAGTCTTCTGTCGTTTTGGAGTACCTTTAGAGATTCACAGCGATCAAGGAAGGAATTTCGAGTTTCAAATATTCCAGGAAACTTGCAGAGTTATGGGTACTCATAAAACACGAACAACTTCTTACCACCCACAATCTGATGGAATGGTAGAACGATTTAATCAGACATTGGAAAGGTACCTGGCACAAGTTGTGGAAAAACGGCAACGAGACTGGGACAGGCACATACAACCGTTTTTGTTGTCATATCGAAGCGCTGTTCACGAAAGTACGTCAGTGACGCCAGCTTTCGCAAACTTTGGGAGAGAATTGCGGCTGCCTGCAGACCTGATCACCGGAATACCAACTGATGCCCCACGCAGTATAACCGATTATGCAAATGACTTGCGGAACAAAATGAATGACATTTATGAGCACGTCAGACAGACGGGCCAGCAAACGTCTGAGAAGATGAAAACACGGTATGACCGCAAAATGAACAACAAGGGGTTTGATGAAGGTTCACTAGTGTGGTTACACAATCCAGTTCGCAGCAAAGGGAAATCTCCTAAGCTTCAAGCTAAATGGGACGGACCGTACCGGATTGTGACAAGGATCAATGATGTAACCTACCGGATACAGAAAGGTGCCAGAGGTACTCCTAAGATTGTCCATGTGGATCGACTGGCGCGTTATTATGGGGCCAATAATGCTCGGGACGAGCATGTCTTAGGAGGGGGCAGTGTTTCGCGCCACTATTAATGTCTTGTACATGGCAACACTAGTTACACTAGCGCCCCCTAGTGTCGAGTAAATGAAAGCATTGCGCGCCACTATTAATGTCTTGTACATGGCAACACTAGTAACACTAGCGCCCTCTAGTGTCGAGTAGCAGAACTAGGAGAGTCAAGATCCTTCCAGAAATTTCGGGACCGATATGTACTCGAACATTCTTGATGTCGCTACAGTAGAAGATTCTGGAAACTATCTGAGGCCCTATATAAGGCCGGTATAGACCACGACCGAGGCAGTATTGAATTGGCGATTCAAGAGAATACTTCGAAGCGAAATAACGGCGAACTGTGTTTTATTATTAGTGTGATTTTAGATTATAATTAGTGTTGTGTAATTAAAGTGTCAATTTTGGTAATTCAATCGGCAGTTTTTAATTGTCTCGAACCCCAAGCTCGTAACAATATTTATGTGTACTTATTTTGACACCAAATATCATAAATAATGAAAATTATATCAAAATAGTATATAATAATAAATTAATAAGATAATATTAAAATGACACACCAAAAAATTTTCCATCCACTTAAGGAGCAGGTTGAACAAAATGTCGCGCTAGTCGTTATTTGTGCGGTTTTAGGAGCTATCTACATTTTAAAAGATATATCAACTAATAAAAAAACACATTATATTGCTACATAATATTGATTTCATAAGGGCTATATCCAATTTTTTTAAAGGAATAAAATTAATATAATCTCCTTACAACGAAACCACATAAATGTGAAATAATTATTGATAACATGCAGCTCCTCGTAAAGGAAGTATTATTTTATTTTGCGATTTACACCAATGTATAGCCAATTTATTAATGAACATTTCTATTATAAAATTTTTTTCAAAAGACCAAAATTTGATTTTATTAAGAAATTATTTTAAAATCTGGGCTTATTCACTGCCCACGGGCTTGCTGGTCAGTGAGCGCTGAGCTCTTGAACGTGAAACTCATGTCGTTAGTCAGAGCGTCGGCTAGCACACACGCTCACGTCATCTTATCAGTCGATAATATTATTACTTATTAGGTTATTTATAGGTAGTATTATTTGTTTGGTTTGTGTATAATTTTTCGTATTAGTTATACATATATTTGTTGTTTTTTAGGTACGACTTTCCATTGACTCCAATCGAGTTGGGGGTTGATACGTATTTTTACAGAAAAGTTACACTATTATAAGCCCACATACAAAGTTACAATATGCGGAAGCGCGTAATTATTGAGAAAAAGTTATTGAAAATCAATTATTCTTGCATTGTTTATGTCTAATCCTACAATAAAACTGACGCCATTTTTTTATTGTTATTGTCAGTAGGGATGTCGATTTTTTCCGAAAAAGATCGATTTTTTTAAATAGATTCGAATTGTAAGCTGATGTATCGATTACCAAAAAATCGATTTCTAAAATATCTATGCGCTGCGGGAAGAGCAGCCTCTACGCCTTAGCGTAACAAATCGCAGGCATCCCTCCTCGCCTCCGCAGCTTCGGCTTGTTGGTCGCCTTCGGCGACCAGCCTCAGCCGCTCCGGCTCGTCCGATACCTACGATTTGTTACAGCAGGCGGAGGCTGCGCCCCCTACACGCCTCCGTCTCTTTAAAACCACTCTAGGGGTAGGACAGACTCGTACCAGGTGCAGTCGGGGTCAATCAATTCGGTTCTTTGACATAAGTTGAACCTAAACTATTTTATTTGTTATCTGCCCTAATTGGTACTGTTAAAATAAAACAAAATTCAATTTTCTTAAAATATGCTACTAAAATAATTCCGTTTTGGGCAATCGGCACCACAATTCTTATTGCAGTTTCTATGAAGGTTAAAATATTTTTATCACCTGTCGCTTAGAATGATATAGTCTATTTTTTAGATTATCTACGCCTTCTCCCCATATGATAATCTTTTGACCTCATTTGCATGTCAGGTATATTGAAGGAAATATTCTCATTGTTTTGTATTATTGATTGATTTGATTTAAAGTAATGTTTTTTATAATGGATTCGTACTAAAATTTATACAAAATCCTAAATGATGCTAAGTATAATTTGAATTTATAAAATAAAACAACCGACAAACTGGAGGTGTTGTCATCAAACTAAATGACAGCCTACAATAATGATAGATCCAGATAATAAGACTGAGGGAGGCAAAGTATTTTAGAATGAAAATACATTGTGTTTGTAATTCGAAAACTTCCATCCAACATACAACCATCCAATGTAAATAGTCAAACATTTTTAACAAATGTTTTTAGCTTTTACGAAATTTAAAAGCCTGTATTATTTCTAGGGTGAATAGAAAATAATTGAGACAAACTGAAATAATAAATACATTTATTTAATTTACAAACTACAAACTAACATTTTAAATATTAAATTGTAATTAATAATTTGATCAGTATGAATCTGCGGTATCGAATCGGAACATGGGCGTGGATACGCCTCTACTGCCGGTGGCGCGAATCGTGAACAGAGCTCCGGCAAGGTGTTCGTTCTCACTCGTCCCGGGATCTTGTCCCGTTGTTACAAATAACTCATCCAGGTTGGGTCCGCCCCAACACAGAGAGGTTGTCCGGGCGACAGGTAATTTGTATCCATACACAACTTGACGTTTATCCGGGTCTATGTGCAGAACCTGACCAAGACAAATATTTTTCATAATTTTTTTAATAGAATAAGGATGATATAAACGAGCACACAGTTCACCTGATGGTAAGTGGATGCTGTGGCCCGTAGAAATCTACAATCCTCAATTAAGATAAAATGCAGATGCGTTATCACCCTTGAGGACTAAGATGGAATGCCTCGTCTCCAGTAAAAAGATCTATGGTTCCCTACATTCACCACAATAAACACAGCAGCAGTAAGCTGCTATTTTACGCTGGTAATCTGTGAGAGCGTGGTCGTTCTCTGGTCGAGCCGACCCATTCGTGCTACAACTATAATATAACTGCAGCGTGGCTCTGCCATTTAAAATATTGTTTTATAAGCTTTTTCATACTGACGTTTGTAAGCATAAATTTTAGCGTTCCTCCTGTTTTTATAGTCCAATTGAACAGTAGGTACAGGTGGCATTTAATTCTGTTAATCTTAAATGTAAGTATTAATCTAAAATTGTTGACCTTAAAAGATGGACTCAAAAATTTAATTTCCATAAGTCAACCGACACGTCGGATTTCACAAATACGACTCAAATGTTTTATATCTATCAGATGCATGAGTTTATTATAAAGACATCTAAGGTGGAGAAGGGGTATAAGAATGTGAATCAAGAATTACTTACAGAGCCTCCAAACATAAGCGCAACCCATAAGTGGCCCTTATTGTCGATTGTCATACCATCTGGTATTGCGTCTTCGTAGCCATAGGCGGATATGTCAAGAATTGTCCGACGGCCGCCTGGAAAAAAATATTACATAATTATTTAATAACTGGGAAAATAAAGATATAGTACCAAGAACAGTCTTAATTGTATTTTAATTTATTTGACAAAACATTCTATTAGGCCGGCCACATACATTCTTGCGTTCGGGATGGTTTTTTCCGTGCGGGATTCCGAACGTACAGGCAGTCATGCGGAATTTTGAATCGAAAAAAATTTTGGACTGAAAACTAGTATAAGTGTGTGATAGGTCCTTGATTTTATATAGATTTGTTTTGTTCGGAATTCCGAAACGGAATTGACCTCAGCAGAAATATAGCTTATTACCACTATTCATTTTCTTAGATAAGTAACTAATCTGGTGATCATTTGTTATGGTTTTTATTTTTATAGTGCTATTTCATGTTTATTTTTAAAGCACTCACGGCTTCAACTTGAGCATTGAAATGAAAGATGCGTAAGATTTTTCAAATTAGTTTGATAAGTTTTTTTAATTGAATGACATTTTAAAGCAAGGATGGACGGTGACTCAGATACCGAGGGCAATGCAATATAAAAACACCTTTGACCAATGTGTGTTGTACAAATATTTATTCCGACTGATATTTGACCAACATTCGTCGGCACGGCAACAACTTCTCATCGGCCCGTGAAAGTCCACCGTAAACGTTAAAGTTAGTAAAAATTACGTGCTAGTTCACGCAATTGATGTAGGGCAAGGAGGTGCTCTTCAAAATACGTAAGACACATAATTTTATTTCATTAAGCGGATATAAGCAAAGTAATTTTTACCAACTTTAATATAATGGATTTCCGCAAAGTATGATCCTATTGATTACCAACATGAACTTTCTACTCAATAGGGAAAATTCGTTGTAATCGCCAAACGCGGTAGACGGTTGGTGACCGAAGCATATTTATTTATAATAATACCGGGTTATTTCGTTTATCCATCCTAGGGTGGATACTCCGATGTGGATGGTCGGGATTCACTTTTATTTGTTCTTTCGGACTTTTTACCCCAAGTATAGTTCAAACATACACTTTAATTTTTAATAACCACTAGATCAATAAAAAAACATATTAGGTATTGCTGTCACCGTTACCGCTACAGCCTGTTAAGGTCCATGCATTAGGTATTGCATTTAAATCAAAAACAACACATCAAACACGGAACGGAGTGGAGGCAAGGCAGACATGGCGAACGCTCTGTACCGGCGAAAATGTTCCACTGGAAGTTAACCAACCAAAACAGTGGGACATTCCGTTGGTACAGAGCGTGCAGAAAGATTTGTTTCATATTTTCCATAGTGAACAAGATCAGGCACGCTTTCTAACTGTTTCGACTAAAGATCTAGTCACTGATTACACGCTTTACCATCAAGTAATCTCGGCACATTACTTGATGGGGAAAGCTTGCGCATCGCTGTAGGGATCCGACTAAGAGCGCCGATTTGTCAACCCCATCAGTGTCCCTGTGGTAGCAGCGTCGACAAGTTTGGGCTCCACGGACTTTCATGTAAGAAAAGTGCTGATAGGTTTTCACGGCACACTTCTTTGAACGATGTCATCCGAAGGGCTCTTGTCTCTATAAATGTTCCCTCGGTTTTAGAGCCTTGTGGAATATTTAGAGGCGATGGCAAGAAACCCGACGGTATGATATTGGTCCCTTGGGAGAGAGGTAAAGCCCTAGTGTGGAATGCTACTTGCGTAGACACTTTGGCGGCCTTTCATCTTAGGGGACTTCGTTTAGAGTCAGGGCGGCATCAGAGGCAAGTGAGTAAGTGGCGCAAATATGAGTCTCTGAGAGATGCCTATGCCTACATATTTGTGCCACTTGCTGTAGAGAATATCGGTCCGTGGGGTCCAAATTATAGTTTTTAATATTGTATATAATAAACGGTAGCGTAGCCTCCATAGAAGCCGAGAAGCCGGGCTTGCCCTATCAAACGGCTCAATCAATAATATCAACTAATAAAATATCTCGTGAACTATTTCAAACTTCCCGCGCGCTCCTCTGTTCTACACAGGTCATGACCTCCTAGCCTTATTATGTAACGTCAACACTTGGCAGATTGCTTTCAATTCGAAATACACTGATTCGTGTTCTGTCTCAAAGCGAACACGCAATGGACTCTCAAAATTCATCGGTCGCGGCAAAACTGCGCGATATTGCTGTCATAAAAAAGGAGTTGAATTGAGCAATTAGTCGTCTCTCTCGCACGCGTGGCCTTTTAAGAAGACGATCGCTCCCTTTCTAACCTGTGGCAAAATGTTTTATAATGAAATAAAACTACGATTGTTTATATCGCAATTAGTATGGAGCTGGACTTTCGGTGTGAAGTTAGTCGTACGCGGGGGCGCGCGGGCGATGCGTTTGCAACTTCACTTCACATTTCAATGTTTACTATGTGTGTTTACTTGAGCGAATGAATATTGCGATTTGAAAATGTATGCTTTTTCAAAGATTTTTAGTGAAAATGGAGGATAATAGTGTTCCTTGTGTTGAATTGAAGGGTGTTAAAGTGCTAATCGGCAAGGAAAAGGTAAAATTTTTAAAATTTGTTGAGAAAAACCAGCTCATATCCACATAAACAGTTATTGGTACAATTAAAACGTTCACCAACATTTTACGCGGACGTAATCAAATCTTTCCTTAAGAAAGAGAGACGATTCGATTTAGAATATAAATAATTTGTTTTTTTTTTTTTAAATTTTGTACATAGTTTGTTTGTACTTTGTTCATGTTTTTCTTTTCTTCATGTATTGTATTGTATGTAAATATTTTTACTTTCGTTCAAGCAAACCCAAACGACTTTTTTCAAAGCCACCGAAGATATGCAATTGTTGATGTCATACAATATGTCTAGCAGTAGCTGTGTTAGAGAAGAACTGGGCGTTTTTTTCAAGCATTCCAAAAACTATTGGATGTTTACGTTTATATTTAACTTCATTTTAAATTATTTTATGGCAATATTCAATGTATCTCTAATCCTATGAGGGAATACTATACTTTTATCTATTATACCTATACTTTTATTTCAGTGTTGACCTTTCAAACAAGAAGTATGTATATAAATTTGTAGGTAATGTCTTAAGTATCTTGGGCCAATTTTAATCATGGTTCTATAAATGACTGTACACAGCCGATGGAGAAAATCGGGAGAATAATAATATATACGAATTCCGATTAGCCACCCCGTCTGGGATGGATAGATGAACTCGCGTTTCTGAGTATCCACTCTAGGATGAATTTTTTAGGGTGGATAAACGGGATAACCCATAATACCACTGACAGAATTATATGAATTTTGATTATGCAGGGATACAGCCTTAGGTTACTAGATATATATTATTTTACTTAAAGGTAATTACGTACTTACGGTAATAACTTTAAATAAACCCCGCTAAACAGAAGTAACCAAAAGAATAAACTAAAATAAAAAATTATAAGTAACAAAACAACATACTAACTATTTTAAGCTAGCTTACTTATCTTCCTTCGACGATGTTTAATGTGATTTTGGTTTTGAATTTCTATAATAATTTATTACTAAACAAATCAACACTAATTCTACACATTGTTAATCTTATAAGAGAGCTGGGAGCTACTAACTGATTTCTCCTTTCTGCGAGTCGTAGTCAAAAGCTTCTATTCGCTGAGTGGGCGAGTCAATGTAATACATGAGCGAGTTGTTAAGTGCAAAGGCGATGCCATTGGACACGGACACGGGCCGCAAGTGCGCGCGCGCGTGTGTGTGCGAGTCCTGCTCCACGCTGTACAGAGTCGCTTTGTCAGCAACCACGTCGTCGCCAGTCTGCGGACCCTTTGTTCCTTTAAACATATAAAACTTAATGTTTTTCAATAGAAATTCACTTTTACTATCACTACTATTACTTTTACTAACAAAAACAATAGCCGACATACGTTTACAACTGTACGTATTACCATTACATTTTTTTATAGGAGAGGGGGAGGAGCAAACGAGCATACGGCTCACCTGATGGTAAGTGACTACCGCTGTCCATGAACAAGTGCAACACTAGGGGAATTGCAGGTGCGTTGCCGGCCTTTTAGAAAAGAGTAAGCTCTTTTTTTGAAGGTCCCTAAGTCGTATCGGTCCGGAAAAATCGCCGGTGGTGAGCTATTCCACAGAGAGGTCGTACGCGAAAGAAAACTCCTAGTGAAACGTACAGTGGTGGATCGCCAAGCATCCATATGGTGTGGATGGTATCGGGAATTTTGCCGCGATATGCGTTCGTGAAATTTGGCGGTTGGGATTAATCCGAACAATTCCTCAGAGCACTCCCCGTAGTAGATGCGAAAGAAAATGCAAAGGGATGCAACATCTCTTCGCAGCGTCAGTGAATCGAGCCGATCGAAGAGGACTCTGTCGTTGACTATTCGATCAGCTCTGCGTTGGATGCGGTCAAGTGGAAGGAGCTGGCTCTGGGGAGCCCCAGCCCAGACATGGGAATAGTATTCCATGTGAGGCTAAACCTGCGCCAACATTACATGTTCATTTTTGAGTTTAAGATCAGGGATGAGTCCGCTAGTATGCCCTAATGTGTTATTCTCGAAACATTCTTAATTTCTTAAACATTTAAGTCACGACACCATTTTCTTTTCAACTCCCACGCGATAAATCAACACTAATAATTTCGAGTTGTGATAGCAGGGATCCAACTTTAATACCGTATGGGTTAGTATAAAAAATGTATATAATTTAAAAAAAAAACAAACGTTGGAATATTACATACCTACCCAAAATCGACCTTCCACGTCGGCTTTTCCGTCGTTGATCTGGTTATCGGGTTGGCCCTCGTCCAGGTTAGTGAGAAGTCGCAGCGCCGCATCACCCGCAACATTCCAGTCAAGAAGGTACAGTGCCGACCGCACTGACACCAAAAGTCGCCGTGAACCCGATATAAGCGATACTAGGTTCACTTTCCCATAACCTAATTATGTAACAAAATAAACAATCTATCCTTTTTGATTAAATCCGATTAGATAGAGACGAATAAGGAAATATTTAAACAACAAAACCTAACCAGAAACGCAATTAATATAAAAAATCACGTAACACTGATGGATATATCAATTATATGATGAGTATATATACTTAGTTAATATTTTTCTTTAATGCTTGCTGTAGAAGCTTTTAAAAATGTTTCGATAAAACACTTTTATTAATTTACCATCATCAAAAAACGCTTACGGTGATGACAGATCGCTATGACGGAGCGAAAAGGAAAGAAATACTATAACGTACCTATGAAAAACTTACTTACTTATACTAGCTTTTTCTGCATATTCTATCGATGCCAAAACTCGTGAAAAACAAAGAGTAAAGATTCAATGTATTTTAAAACTTACCAATATGTTTACTGGAAATTTCTCCTGTTTTATAGTCAAGACGGTGGACATTCTGTGCGTGAACATCTACAAAATATAGGCTCTGTGTCTCAGCGTCCCACACCGGGCTCTCTCCGTGCGAGAACAGAGCGGGATGGCTGGGGTCGTTGTTTGATGACACCTTGATTTAAAAAATTAAGTTTTAGATAAAAACCAATTTAACGCAAGTTACTTTTACTTCATCATCCTAAAAAACTGGCGATACTGTATTTCCAATCTATATCAAATATTACGAGGGCGACACTGAAAGTTTTTAGAACTGGCTACTTGTAAACAATATAATAAAAAAATAAGTACAAATTTTGAAAATGGAACTCTTTGCCAATATTATTGTGTATGTATTTTATTAATTTGTCATTTGTTTACAATTTGGCGGTAAATTGAAAATTTTCGGTGTCACGTCAGCATGAATTTAACGCGAGAAAATTTTCGTACAATGATTTTTATGACATTCCATGTCATTTAAGTCGACAAGAAAGTTATGATAGACTTCGATTGGCCTTTCACGATGAATCCCCATCTAGTGCCACTGTTTACAACTGGTTTAATGAGTTTAAACGTGGTCGCACCATAGAATTATTACGCATAGAAACGCAGTCCAGTACAAAACACGAGCGTTAAAATGATGCAAAGTCATTATGTTAGTGGGCGCGAGTCGAATGTGCCTACGCTCGTCACACGCACACATACACGCCATTCAGTGATACCAGTTTCTGGCGTTTGCAATCAAATTGTGCAGATCAATATTTTTTGATTAATTTTAAAAAAATCTATATAATAAAGATTACTTATTACGTACGAAGATTATTTATTTTACTAATATAACTTTATTATACATATATATTAATGGTTAAAAATGCAGACGCAATTAATTTGCTCGAATACAATAAGCACATCGTGTAATATTTAATTTTAACCGACTTCAAAAAGGGAGGAGGTTATCAATTCGGTGTATTTTTAATGTTTTTTAGCTCAGAATTCTACAATTTCTAAACCAATTTAGATATTTTTTTTTGAAAGGATATACACACAGACTGATCTAATACACACGCTGAAATTTTAATGGTTGTTTTGCCGAAGTAAAATGATTTTGCCTTAGTAGTACAATAGAATAGATGTAAAAATGGCAGATTTACAATCGAGAAAAACAATACTCGAATGCGATCTCAAACCAATAGCAATATCTCGCAAGTAGGTCGGGCGTACAGGCTAGCTTATACCTAATTACTATAATAAAGTCTGAAAAAAAAAATTCGCTGGACGTAATGTAGTGTTACGTCTATCGCACGTGCTACCGCGCGCTTCCTACACAGTGAAGGACCACTAATAAATGTTTATAACATGAACTCTCAAGCGTAGTGATACGACATAAACTAGTCTGGACGCTCGAATAGCTTGTGAGGTATTACTATAGTAAATCTGCCCTTTTTTAATTGTAATATTTTTTAATTTAATAAATTGACTCTACTATCGAGACAGTATAATTTGGCTGCGGGACAACAACCACTAAAATTTCAGCATGTATATACGAATTGATCAAGCTTAGAAATCAGTGTACATACATATTGATATCCTTTCTTTTTGGTCTCTTTGTTTGGTCTAACGTAACATCTGGTTAATGTTTGGGTGTAAAGTGATATCTGGTTAGTAAAGGCGTTCTTATTAATAATCTCATGATGTTGTAAATAAAAAAGTTTTTATTCTATACGCTAAAACGTAACCTTAGTCAATAAAAAAGGAATTAAAATAAAATAGTCGCGTTAAAATGGCGACGAGGAATCGCGATTAACTGATCATTCCGTATTAGTTTTAAATAGACACCCATTGTTAATATAATGTTAATACTTAGAGAAGTAGGTAGGTATATATAAACATTTGAGTTTTACACAGAGCGTTGCGATTAAATGTTTTAAACACAAATAGAAAATAAATATTTTTAAAAGAAAATTGTGATTTTTGCCCCACAACTAGCAACATTTGTATTATGAGAGCTTAGGTAAGTATTTTTTTAGTTTTACGTTCTTATAATGAATTAAATGTATAAACTTATATGTGAAATGTAATACCATTACTTCTTTTATGTTTATCATCACCGTTGTGTCAATATTTTACAACACAAACGGTAATTTTTACAATTTTTCGCGAGCTCTTCCCCGTAAGGCGTGTCGTTGCGCACTGACGTGTCGCTGAGTCAACTTACGCGGTTTCGAGTTAGTTTTACTTGCTTCACTTTCGGTGCGCGTACTAGTATTCTATGCGTAATAATTCTATGGGTCGCACTAATCTCACCAATGTTCTGCGTGAGGGACGGCCTTCTACGGCGACGACTGAACATAACATCAGTGTTGTGCGGCGTATGATAAAGACTGACAAAATAGTGACTTATCAGCAGATTCGGACAAGCTTAGGCATCGGTGTGAGTCAAGCACACAAAATCCTCCATGAACATGTCCGCTACAAGCTTTGTGCCCGGTGGATTGGTGTCGTGAAATGGTTCAGATTTAACGGAGGTGACTCAAATGCTGTGTTCGACATACTTAGGGGTGAAGAAAGCTGGATTTATTATTATGAACCTGAAACTAAGAGACAGTCTGAAACACCCAGACATGTTTCCTTCCGAGGAGTTGCCAACTAAAGTCGACGAAGAAGAGGTCGAAGCGAGGAAAAAAATATGGTGGCCTCGTTCTTCGGAAGGACAGGTCATTACGTAACAATTGTTTTAGAGGATCGACAAACTGTTAATACAGAGTGGTACACTAACAATTGTTTGCCACTTGTTTTGGAAAAAGTTCGGGAGAAACGACCTCGCAGTAGGATCCTCCTTCACCACGACAACGTCTCGTCGCACACCGTCACCCGCCTTGTAGCCCCACCTCGCACCTTGTGATTTTTATTTTTCTCAGTTGTTCCATCGGATGCAGCGATGTATTGATGTAAACGGACACTATTTTGAAAAGATATAACTAAACTAATAACTTGCTTATTTGTTCAGTTTTTGATTTTCTACGAACTTTCAGTGTCACCCTCGTATTTATTATAGTCAAGAAAAAAACAACATAACAAAATTTGCTTAAAATATTTAATGAAAAAAAAATGGTTCGATCATTCTGAGCAAAAAATATATTGCAGTGTCATTTCGCAGCTGGACAAGAATTTCTACAATTATAGAGAGGATTCGCCGTAATCGCCACACTTGGCAACTGGCAGTCTCTCCTAGGGAGAGGAGAATTCCCCCCTTTCTCCTTCACAGGTAAAGTCACCAGAAGGCGCGTTTTCCTCCAGGGTCTTTAAATACACCTGCTCAGCAGATACCTCTGATTCCAGTACGCCGAGGCCATGTGGCCAGGTTCAGTGTCACCCTCGTATTTATTATAGTCAAGAAAAAAACAACATAACAAAATTTGCTTAAAATATTTAATGAAAAAAAAATGGTTCGATCATTCTGAGCAAAAAATATATTGCAGTGTCATTTCGCAGCTGGACAAGAATTTCTACAATTATAGAGAGGATTCGCCGTAATCGCCACACTTGGCAACTGGCAGTCTCTCCTAGGGAGAGGAGAATTCCCCCCTTTCTCCTTCTCAGGTAAAGTCACCAAAAGGCGCGTTTTCCTCCAGGGTCTTTAAATACACCTGCTCAGCAGATACCTCTGATTCCAGTACGCCGAGGCCATGTGGCCAGGAAGAGCACTCGGGATTCAAACCCGGGACGTCACGACCAGCAATCGCGGTTACGTTCACTAGACCAACGAGGAACACAAAAACAAAACTGTGCAAAAATATTTTAACGTGGTAGAGTCACGTTGCAGCTATCTTACGGCACAGAATAAATAATAGTACTAACGTACAGAAGTTGCACTCTTTTGATGTTGACTGCTTGCCGACGTTTTAATAGCCTACATAGTTATTATTAAACCTCTCCTTGGTAGCTTATAAGTACAGAGCGAGGCCCGTCAGAACTCTCCCGGGGCGGAAGGCGTGGGTGGGCGGTCAGTCGTAAACTTTCAATAAGAAAAAAATGATTAGGTGCAGTTCTGAAATTTGATAGAGTTATAGTTTTTAACTGTAGGAATCTAGGAAAATTATAGTCAGAAGTCTAGGTCGGGGCTTAAAGACTGTCAGAAGTCGACAAAGTTGTAAAGAAATTGTTTAAATTTAAACCACTAGGTGCAGTTCTGACAAATGCATTTTTATATTATTTATTGCTTATCGAACCTGCATATAAATTGTCAGAAGTCTTAATAATGGCTAAGTACATAAAAATTGATGATATAGTCAGAAGTTGCTGAAGCGGCTATCGCGACGGAAAGCAACGTTTCGAATCTAGTTTTGAGTTAAAACAACAAGGTGCAGTTCTAACAATTGTATTTTTATATTATTTATAGCTTACCGAACCTGTACATATATTGTCAGAAGGCTAAATAATGGCTAAGTACAGAAATATTGATGATATGGCCAGAAGTTGCTGAAGTGGCTATCGCGATGTAAAGGAACGTTTCGAATCTAGTTTCAAAATTAAGGCGCAGGTTGAGCAAAATGTCGCGCTAGTCGTTATTTGGGCGGTTTTTAGGAGCTATCTACTTTTTATTTAAAAGATATATCAACAAATAAAAAACACATTATATTTCTACATAATCTTGATTCCATAAAAGCTATATCCAATTTTTTTTTAAAGGAATACATATTAATATAATCTCCTTACAACGAAACCACATAAATGTGAAATTATTATTGATAACATGCATCTCCTCGTAAAGTAAGTATTATTTTGTTTTGCGATTTACACCAATGGATGGGCAATTTATTAATGAACATTTCTATAGTAAAATTTTTTTCAAAAGACCAAAATTTGATTTTAATAAGAAATTATTTTAAAATCTGGGCGTATATACTGCTCACGGGCTTGATGAAGTCAGTGAGCGCTGAGCTCTTCGACGGGAAGCCCGTGTCGTTAGAGCGTCGACCGACGCATACGCCACGTCATATGAGTCGATAATATTATTATTTATTAGGTTATTTATAGGTAGTATTATTTGTTTGTTTTGGGTATAATTTTTCGTATTAGTTATACATATATTTGTTGTGTTTTTTACTGCGCGATGAAGATTTTTGCGTGTATTTTCTTTGAAGTAAATGCAAATAAAAAAATGAAGCACCATTAGCATGTAAGGTTCGAATCCATAATTAAAATTTCGACAAATATTATAATTTACACTATAAAAGGCTAATTCAATATTATCACCCAACCACAATATCTTATCAGGTATACTACTGCCTCGTTGGTCTAGTGGTTGTAGTAGTGCGACTGCTGATCATGGGGTCCCGGGTTCGAATCCTGGGTTAGGCCAAAAAGTCAGTTATGAGTTTTTTATTTATGTTCTAAGTTATAATTAGTATTACTAAGTTATAGTTTTTTGCTAAAATATAGTATATTATTTATTGCTTGTTTTTTCTTCTTTTTCAAAAAATAATTGAGTACATAAGGTGTTCTATACTTATATCTCGGTAAAAAGTACCAATATACCTACTTTTTACTATAAACTAAAAAAATTTAAAACTAAATTTAACTAAAAAGACTAAGCTGACCATTTATTTTTTAACTCATAACAGGACATGGGTTTATTTATACTCTAAAAACTATAACTTTATACAATTAGTGTTCACTATAAAATTATATTCGGTATAGACGGTAATTATTAAATGCAACATATTTTTTTTAATTATTAATTACATTTGTCAGTGGATTAAATTTGCTTTAAATAAAGTTGGTGATGATTTTAAATAAGAATAAAATTCTGCTCAAGTTTTTTATTGTTATCTTTGCAACATCGCCTTTAGAACTCTGGAACCGTAAGTGTTTCTTTCAGACGTCCACAATTTATGCAAAATAAAAAAATACTCTTTCTACCGGAGCATTCGTACCAGGTAGACATAAAATATATTCGATTAAAAAAAATTATGTTGAAGATTGTTGACTTTGAATACTTCCATCCAACGAGTTACGGGACAATTTTGTGTCCCGGTGCTTTGTTTGGGGACAATGGGACAGGAGACCGAGAAAAGGGACAGTCCCGTTCAAAACGGGACGTATGGTCACTTTAGCTATAACCCGGCGACCATGAAGCAAATACAAAGTTAGTCTTTGTATTAGCTTCATGGTGGCGCAGTGGCTTAGCAATCAGTTGTTGCGCTGGGGGCCGCGGGTTCGAATCCCGCATGGAACAAGATTTGTATGGCCTACAAATAATTGTTCCGGGTCTGGATGTTTGTCTTTGTGCAATTTATGTTTGTAAACTGCCTCCACGACACAGGAGAAAATCCTAGTGTGGGTGTAATGTTTTTTTACAACTGAAATTGAAAGATTGAACCCTTATACTTCTTGTTGATTTTTGTATTTATATATTTTTTATTGCACCAAATATTTGTACAAAAGCCGAGTTATCTATTTATTTACCTATAGTGAATAGGTATCTTTTAAACTCACAATTTTCAATGCTTCCGTTTATATAATTAATTATAAAATTTCATAATTAGATAATATATGAAAATACATAATTCTAATATAATGCAACTAATATATACAGAATAAAAAAATTAAAATACATTTATCTTTGTACGCTATGTGTATTTCCATAAAATAGTTTATTGATGTTGAAAAAATAATACTACTTTCGTACAATAGGTGGCGTCTTACATATTTCTTCCGGCGAGCCGCTCGCTACAATATATTAATATTGTAGCGAATGGCGCGCCGGTCAAATGCTCAAGGTCGTTCGCATGGAGTAGCCCCTTAAATAACAAGGTGCAGTTTTGGCTATTTGTTGTTTTTATTATTTACACTGTTATTTCAATAAATATGCAATGATAAAAGATTAAGCGAGCGAGATAAAAAAATTATAAAAATTGTGTTGCCGGGTAATCGCTGACTTAGACGACGGACTTTAAAAATATAATTCGTACTCAAAAAATTATAGAAAGTATGTAAATAAATAATACGAAAAATGAAATAAAATGGAGAAGTTTTGCCGGGAGTGCTGAAATCCTAATTTTTTGTATATACTTTAATGAATCCGTAATTTTTCTGTCTATTGCTATTAGTTAATTTATAATTAATTTTGAGATAGTATGATCCTATTTGAGTAATAGCGCCATCATCAATAGAATGTAGTAACATTCTATAGTTAAAGTCATTTTATCGAACAAAAATTGATTGTTATTTTTATAGAATAAGAGTAACCCTATTCTATAATTATTAATGTTTCCTTGTCGCAGACAAACAAGGCAGGCAAATTTTACCGTCAAACTTTTGAGGCTTTATTCTACTTATGGCAATGACATTATGAAATAGAGTTCCGTAATTTTTAAAATTTGAAAGTTTTAAAAATTATTATTATTGATAAAAGCAGTAATTTAATATATTGTTTGCCTTTTATCCCTCTCTCTATCTCTCTCTCACACACACAGTGAAAGTTTTAAAAAGACAAAAGTATTACTTACCATAGAAATCTTATAGAACTGGTTTGACGTAGACGTTTTTGCCTCACTTACCCTAAAAATATCACTGACTAACAAAACAAGAAATACAATTATCATATTAGATTTAATTTAACTTCCTCGTGTTACAACCTTAGCTTGCACTTGGAACTGTTGTGTTTTTCCGGTTGACATAGTTCGAATGAACAAACGGAATTTGTATCATTGTTAAAAAGAAAAAAGAGGTTCGAAAAAAGAGGAGTGATGCCTGTGTCGGAACACAAAGCGTTTAACGACTTTAAACATCTAAAGAATGGACACAAAAAAAGGAATTGAAAAAAGCGGCGAATCAAACACTTTGCTACTTGAAAAACATTTATTTATGTTTACTTACAGCTAGGGTTCTCAAAAGTAAACTTATATTAATATTAAATTTATCTTACACTATAGTGAATGGCTTAGTTCATAATTATATGTTTTATCGATCAAACTATACCAGTATTAAATGGACTTTTTGAAATAAAGGTAATAATTTTACAATAAACATAGGGAAACGTGTCATATGTATTATGTAATATTACATTAAATACATTTTGCTAACATGAGTTTTTAAGGAATAAAAAAAAATTATAAATACTAGATATGGTGAAATGAACTTGACCTAAATTTGTCTATGCAGCTATAATACTAAGTTTTTCCTAAAATGCAACAAAAACAACGAAACAGTTTTCTTTTTGTAAACGATTTTAAGACTGTTGTTACAAAGTAACTTTTATGGAAGAAGTTTGTTAGGTTGAGTTGCTTAAAAGGAATATAACTGAAAAATACATACATAAAATATGAATAGCAAGAAATTCACTCGTGAGATTACATTAATTTGTTGAACTCACTCTCACTTTTTAACACAATTTTTATAATTAATTAAACAATTTCTATAACCTGGCTTAACAGGCTACTAAACAGGCAATCAAATTAAAAATAATTTGCTAAGCAATAACAGAAAACCTTTAATTGATATATAAATGCTTTTTAAAGAAGTTTTTTTTTCAACATATTGTTTATAATTAGAAAATGTATGATACAATCAACGGCAGGTCAAAAATTATCAAATACATTGCAATATGTATAGCATTTTTATCTCATGGTGACGATGGCAGGTGAGACTTACTTGTAATATAGGTTTGACGTGCACATTGTTTTAGTATGTGTAAGCTCTAGAGTCATAAATTACTATTGAGTGCCGTCAGAACGGTAAATAAACAGAAATGATGTTCGCAGTGATATAAGAAAATAATTCATGTGCTCTTTGCTAAACAGCAGAGTAAGGCTCGCCCGCATTTGTGTAATTAAAACGTCTATACTATACACGCATATTTGTTGCGTTTTGTTGGCGAATGATGATTGATTTATTTAGTACAAGGTATTAAAAAGTTATACACTGACCCGAATGCATAAATTCAAGTCAAACACAAATATCACGTTTTCTATGGAATCAAAACAATATCGTCGTTCCCACGATAATGTGCATAGATGTCACGTTCCATGCGCAATCAGCCGTACACACCTGTGTATGAGGACACATTATTAATAAACGAAATCTCCTTCACCTTATGTGAGAATTATTAAACTAAATGTATATTATATACAATCATTAAAAACTTAATTACTTAAAAATTACAGTGCTATTATCAACGTTAAACTGCTATTTCACGCCAGGATTATGTGAGAGCGTGGTCAGAGGTCCAGCCTACTCATTCGTGCTACAACCATAATATAACTGCAGTGTGGCTCTACCACATGCATGTGCATGTGCTTGGAAAAACAATTGGTGGTAATGCTTACCAACCTACAGATCATAGTCACTTAATGAAAATATTTGAAGGCCAATTTGTGGGTAGAGCCATGGTGCAGCTATATTACTTATCAGCACCAATGGGTAAGCTCGACCGGGGAAGGACCACGCTTTCACATAACACTAGCGTAAAATAGCACCTTAACGCTGCTATGTTCCCTTCTATAAAAAAAAAAACTTGGCGAGGCCCTTTTTTCGGTGCTCCCTGACTCATAAATCTGGTACACACGAGATATTTATTCGCATCTCTCGAAAGCCAAAATATTTACGACAGCCTTATAAAAGATGGGATAATCACGCCAATTTCTCTAGCCACTTTATTAACCAAATTTAAACAAACTACACAAAATGTCAACTTTGCCTGAACGTTGTGCACTTTGCTTTAATATGCAGTGAACGAGGTTCTGACAATGACTAAATGACGGTATATCTCTTCGAATATACCGAATCCAAAACACAGAGACTGGACTGAACGCAATGAAACACCCTACGAAGGTAGCGATGTAAAATATTTTACTAATGCATATCTTAATTTTTTTATTCTTATTTTTTTTATAAAGCTAAACTGACAAACGAACTCACCGACCACCTGATGGTAAGTGACTACTGCACACCATGGATGCTTGCAGCTATCTATAAACAAAGGCTACAGTTGCGTTGTAACTTCTGAGGACTAAGAAGGAATACCTTACAGCTTGTAATTACCTATACTGATACTTTAAATCCTTCAGACTGAGACACAACAGCGCAAGCATCATTTGGAGGCAAAATAGTGTAGTACCTACCCAGATTGACTACTAAGCACTAAAGGATCATACAATTTTCTCTTCTCCATACCATTACTGTCTTTAAAAGTCCACTGCTGAACATAGGCCTCTCCTACATATTGCTTCATAGGGGCAATTTTGCCATAATTGTCACGATTAGCACGCCTAACAAAAGTTAAAAAGCTAAAGTTACAGCCTTTATACGTCCCACTACTGGGCACAGACCTCTCATTTCTGAGAGTGTTTTAGGACAAGAAAATGTCCGCCGCGCTGCCCCAACGAGTGTTGTCAAACTTCCTAAGTCTTCGTTCTCAGACATGCAGGTTTGCTCACGATGTTTTCCTTCACTATTGCATACTATTGCAATTTCATTGGTGCCGGCGGGGATCGAACCCCGGTTGCTCGCTAACTGTGAAATGTACAGCGAGCTTAGCCCCTGCGCTACCTCGATTCACGCCAACCAAGCAACTCTTAAAATTATAAAAACTTTTGGTTTTGTTTTTATAATTTTGAGTGGTTATCTGGTAATTGCTGCTGCCTATCTTCTGTTTCAGTATCCCTCTGGCACCTTTTACGACATCCATGTGGCGATATGAGATAGTGGATATTCTTACACCGCCACTACACGGTTCAAAAGGAGTCTTATCACCTAATACGGTCCGTGCGTTCTATCTTGGCCGGGCAGAAGTTGTCTTTTCGAGACATTTGCGCATATACAGACGATAGTCGGATAGAGATGTGCCACTTCATATTCGCTCCAAAGATTGCTTAGGGAAACTGTTTTATCTATATCGATTATACAATAAGTTGAAAATTATTATTATAATGTAAATATTTTTATGTATTTCAATAAAACAATAGTATGTAATAAAAAATTACTATGAAAGTTTGAATATATTATAGTAAATACACGATATTAGCAGGAACAACTTTAAATTTGTGATAAAATCTTTAATGCGCATTATCACAATCACTGAACTTAAAACATCATGTTCCATTTTCACACCACTAAACCATAAAAAAAATAATTAAAATAAAATCGAATCATAATCGGTAATAACTATAATAATAGATCATTTAGGGTTAAATTAAAAACTTTTATTTAACTTTACTTGTATGCATGTCCTGGAATTTTGCAATCAATATTTCACCCACTTCCGCTGAGACATTATCGCTCGGAATCACTATGGAAAAAATATTGTAATAGCCTGGTTATTTGCAGAGGAAGAAGAAAACAAAATTCGAAGAAAAAGAAGATTCTGGATTCATAGTATTAATTTAAAAAGGCAATTGTATAGAGTGTATTATACTTTATTTAAAGACTTGTTATATGATGATGAACGTTTTTTCAGATATTTCCAAATCAAATCAAATCGTTTATTTCGCTAAAAACATGGGTACAGACGGATGGATACAGAGTCAATATTTGTTTCCACATATTTTGCCATTCGTGACATGCGAAAAAATATATTTTTTTTAATATAAATGGGTTCAGAACAAATGAACTAACATTAGAAATATACACATAATATTCCAGTATGTAACTACCACTTTGTAATGGTTACATTTGTTTTTAGAAGAACATAACAAAATTCGAAAAATAACCTTTAATTCAATTGAGAAGTATCACGCAAAATCCTGGATCTATAGTAACTTACTTAGCTAAACAAAATCAACAAAAAACAAATCAAAAGCAAAATCAAAATTTATAGTTAAAGAATTCTTTGATGTTATAAAAGGCAGTATTTATTAGCCACTGCTTTAAACTTTTTTTCATTCGCGTTAAGCGTCTCCCACACAGACGCGGCTTGCGGTAGCGGCCGCGGTGGCGGCCAGTTGTATTCGCTTGCAATGTAAGTGAGTCTGCAAACTCGTGCGGCCATCGCGCGGCCTGCCAGCGGCTGGCCGCGGCCGCATGCTCCGCCCCATTTGCCAACGCGTGTGTGTTAGCGAGTACGCGGTCAGTCAATGGCCGTAGCGCGGTCTGTTGTAAATTTTTACAACAGGCCGCGTGTACCGCGTGAAAAATGGTGCTAAATTCATAGGTTTTAATAGAAACAGTGCAAAATTATCCTGTACTTTATGATAATTCGCATCGTGATCACAAAAGATTTAGGATTAAAAACAAAATATATGATAATATTGCTGAATATAATAAAACTTCGCCACGGTTTGTCATGTTTACTGACGTCCGATCGTAGCACAAACACCACAGCGAATGCCGCTTCAGGCCGCCATTCCGGCCGCGGTGGTATGTTGTTGCAGCGGCTGGAGCCGCGGCCCGTGGTTAGCCGCCACCGCAAGCCGCTTGGTGTGGGAGACGCTTTAATGGCTGTTCACGAATATTTTTAGGAACTTTATTATATATCTTGATACACATTACGAGACAATTCCTGTGGAATAATGCAGTTCTACAAGGTGGCATCAGTAGACGTGTCGGATCTCTTTTTGCAAATTTATTATTTTCCTGCACGGTAACAAATTGATTTATATTATTTTTTACAAAAACGCAGATTTCTAATATATATAACCCAGTTAAAGTGAGAATATTTTTTTCCTTAAACAGGTGTCTACAGCTCTGTAGAGGGCCTACGTTACACAATGCACGAATACATTTCTTCTGGCTTAGAAAGGCTCTGTTTGCGTCTGTTGAGTTGCCCCACAAGATTATTCCATATCTTAAGACGGATTCAAGGTACCCGTAGTAAGCAACACGCGCTGCTTGCGGACCTGCTACATTTTGAAAACTACGTAGTGCATAAACAAATTGATTAATTTTTTTGCATACGTTATTAATGTGTAATTTCCAGTTGACATGCTGGTCAATAGCAACACCTAGGAATTGTGTATCTTCTACCTCTACCAATCTTTCACCCTTATATGTTAAGTCTAATTTTTGTGGTTTTGTTTTATAATTTCCAAATTGAATATATTTAGTTTTCTTAGTGGTGACTTGTAAATTATTATCTTCTAGCCATGATATAACTGCATTTAACATATAAGAAATTTCAAGAATTGTTACATATATTAAAACCATATCTTTCTATAGAAAACTCAAGATTTAGAAGGCCAATTGAACCAGAGGTACGACTTGTTGTATGTTTGAGGTAAGTATTTTATTGATAATTAAGTAATCAGGTATAATTGGGTTTTTGAATTAAAATTCACTATCAATTTTTTTTTATGTATTTACATAATTTATCACTAAGTATTCATTTTACAACGTTTATGGGAATTTCAATTTCGTTTCAGCATTTTTCTGCCAACCTCTAACCGCAGTGTACATTTAACACTTAAAAAATATAATTCGAAACAAAAGTCGAAACCACCAGTGTTAGTGGTAAATCCACTAAGTTGGCAACATTAGACAACACTGAGTATCAACACGCGCCAAACGCGCTGCGTTATATGACGCCATCAGCATTCGTCCTTCGATTTCGTATGCCTACTGCATTTTATAAAATTCGGCGCGTACGGTGCGGCTGTAATGTGCGAGGTTTCATATGATTTCATACAATTAATTCTAAAATTCGGCGCGTACGGCGCGTGCGGCGCGGACAAATGTGCGTTCAGCTTAATATGACAATGCAATATTATCACGACATATTATAGTTGATCTGATGATGAAGCTGGAATGTGGCCATGACTAAAAAAGACGGAAAAATGGCCGCCATACCAATTTTAAAGAGTTTTAGCAAAGTTTAGGGATATTTTTTTTTATAGGATAGGGTGACAAACGAGCACACAGTCCACCTGATGGTAAGTGATTGCTGTGGCCCATAGACATCTACATCTATCATCGATTACAAATCAAAATGCAGATGCGTTGTCACCCATGAGGACTAAGATGGAATGACTCTTTTCCAGTAAAAAGGGTCTCCTGTTCTCTACACTCACCAGCAGCATCAAGCTGCTATTTTACGCTGGTATTCTGTGAGAGCGTGGTCCTTCCCCGGTCGAGCCGACCCATTCATGCTACAACTATACTACTAATATAGTTGCAGCATGGCTCTTAGAAAACTACACGTTAGAAAACTAGTAGTTTAGTGGTGCTCGAATGAATGTTGTAGGGAACACCAAGGGTCAACTGCTGGTAATAAAAAAAAAAGAAACGTACTTGCTCCAATCCGCCTGTAATCCGCTTGTTATCTAGGGGTTTCTGGAGACCCCGATTACGATTTTGGGGTCGAATTGTTCGGGTCAAATTTTGCAACAGAATTTTAAAAGTACGTATAGCTAAGTGATGTCAATCTAAATTTGTTATTTTTTATACATATATAATATGGGTATTATATGAAAAGATTTGTTGTAAAGAATACGAAAAATAAAATTACGTCACTCTAAATCCAATATGGTGGACTTTCAAAGATAGTGGACTATGTATTTTATTCACCCCCATGATATGGATATCAAATAAACAGTTTGGTGATGCTCGAACAAATGTTGTAAGGACCGACAATTAAGGGTCAACTATTGGCAATAACAAATTCAAGATGGCGGAACTAAGATGACGATCGAAAATCAACATTGATGCATTAAATGAAATGACTTAGAAACATAACCAAACAAAAAATAACTTAAAAGTAAGTTAATTTTTTTTAGAACAAGCTTTTTATTTAAATGCTTTAAAAAAATAAAATAAACTTTAAATTAAATCAAACCATTAATTTATATGATATATAATCTTGTTGCGAGATTTACCTGTGTACATAACCACTCAACCGTCCACGGTGACCACAGTCCCCAAAAACCATTATTGCATCGCCTGTCTAGGCACCAAACGACATCTTTCGGTTTAAACGCGTACAGCGCCAAAGATAGCTGTTATTAATACAGTAATAGTATATTTCATTACGAGTGCGGAAACCCTGTCATTGCAAAGAGTTCCGACAAATGTCTACCCGAGCCGAGGCGCAGCCGAAGGTGAGGGTTGACAGTTGGAACAAGTTGCAATGACGGTTCCGCACGTGTACTGAACAACTATTTTTAATACAGTTGCGAAAAAATGAAGCAATTTAATAAAGAACATTCTTGGGAAATGGCGCCAACCGTAAAAGAATATAAGCAGAGACTTTTTTTGTTTTCTTCACCCATTCTGGGTAGGCAAAGGGAACTATGCCCATACAGCCAAGTCTTCAGTAGAATTTTTTATTGATATGAAATGAAAATTAAATTTAATGAGATGAAATGAAATGAAACCTAACCTAACTCATTGATTCAAATCATTAAATGTGATATTGAAACAAATTAGTAGCTTCTTTTTAGAAATATTTGCATGAAACATAAAAACTTCTATGATTTTTTTTTTAGTAAAAACTTCGTGGTTGATTTTTTCTTTTTAATAGACATTATTTTGACAGTTGGGAAAGAGAACGCACAAGTTCGGAAATGGTAAAGAAAACGCACAAGTATGTAATAGCCCACATCCTGAACGCTATACTTTTTGAGCAACTGTATTAAAAAAAAATTATAGATGGTGCTATATGAAATTTGTCGTCTGTGAAAGTGAATTTTATCTGTATAATAGTAACAAAATATTAGGTAAAAAAAAATAAAATAAAATTTCGCTAATTTTGTTTGTGGAATGTTAACGTGTGAGAAATTAGATCAAAAATGTGATAACTTTTCTGTTTTTATACGTTATTTCTAATGTTATTGTGCATTAAACTAATTGTGAAGATATTTTCTTTAGTAAATATGTATCATTACGACAATTCCAAAACGTTTACATATAATCATTTAGCTCTAAATTTTAATCACTATGCGCGACGCGATCATCGTTTATTGATTATATATTGTTTAAAATGTATTCTAATCAGTTTTTTGTGTTAAATGAATGCAAAATATAAAATAATGATTCACTATTAACACGTTGACGCAACGCAATTTATAAATGAAATATCTGTTGAATTGTGTCTAGAAATTATTAAAACCTATTTTTTTCATTTATTTACTTATTTATTCTAATTTATATTGGGTAAACATTATATACTTATGTATATTGAGTATATAAGATGTTATTAATATTGGTGTCATTTTAAAGGGAATATCATGTACTATTATAATATAAAATAATTGTCTCCAGTAAGGATTACACTTTTCTTGTAAAACTCGAAATAAAAAATAACTACTTTTTTTTTTGATATACCCATTTTTAAGGTTTATTTTCAGGCTTTATTTTTAATTTTACTAATTTTCTTTTAAGAAAATAAAATTTTGAATTGTTTGAGTATTTTGAGAATATTTTTTAATTGATTGTAGCTATAGTAGTTTTTCAGTAGTAATCGTTTTTGTTAAGACTGTCTCGCGCGGTCGTAAAAAATAGTGACATTTAATTCGCGGACAGGTTAGGCGAGAATTACTCCCGCGGGGCGGACGGTTGAGTGGATAAACAAGAATTTAATATGTTACTTGATATTGACATATTAGGTAATTCTAAGAAAAAAAAAGTTTTTTTATAAAATAGGTAAATCTTTCGACAAGTTTTTATACCATATAAATTGTGTAATGTATTAAATTGATGGGTTTGATTTAATTTAAAGTTTATTTTCTTTTTTTAGAGCATTTAAATGAAAGCTTGATTTTAAAAATGTTATCTTAGTAATTTATTTTAGTAATTGTAGTCGCGCAATATGCGTTCTAGATTTAGTTACTGCCTACCCTCCCATTACTTTTTCACCATTTTGTTTCTAAAAACTATGTTTGCGCAGCCGTTTGCGACTAACTTCAGCCTGGTTAAGATAGAGCGCGCGGTCTTTAAACATACACACTACGTTAAAAACTATGTTAAAAGTAAAAATTAAAGGTTATAAAGAAATGGTAAGCATCGAGTAGTTGAACTTACGTGAAGTGAGTGCGTGAGTTTAGACGTGGTGCGGGGGAGCGGCGGGCGGCGCGTGCGGCGCGTGCGGCGCGCCCACCTCGCCGGCCGCCGCCTCCCCCGCGCCCCCCGCGCCCCCCGCGCCCGCCGCGCCCGCCGCGCCTCCCGCACCCGCTGTACCCGCCGCGCCGACGGCTGCCGCCACCCCGCCACTTTCCGCTTGCAGCCTGACCACAACATCGATACATTCATTTAAACCAGCCTTTTAACGGAACTTAATGAGAATCCTCACGAATCTACGACTATATAACTAAATAAACTCTCACGCACATATGACCAGTAAGTAGGGTTATATAGTACTGTACTATAATTCAATCACTTGTACTATATATTATAGAAAAATAATATAAAACGAAAAATACTATATTTGTTCAAAGTAAAACATAATTTAAAATTAAAAATTTTGTACAACCGACTTCAATATAAATTATTAAGAATAACTCAAAAACTATTGATCACACCTTGATCAAATTTATATGGGACCACATGAGAAGCACTAACTTTCAAATAAATAATTTAAAAAAAAAAAGAATCATCGAAATCGGTTCACCCAGAAAAAAGTTATGAGGTATCACAAAAAAACATACAGTCGAAATGAGTACAGTCTCCTTTTTGAAGTCGGTAGAAAAGATAGCAACCGTAGCAGTAAGAGACTACGAACTTCCTTTTGACACGCTCCTGACACACCTCTTGCTTCTTTCACATCCATATCACCAGTCACCACATCCATATCACCAGTTTGGTCGATAAACTTCCGTCTAGAGTATCGCTTGCCGGCTCTGCTACTCACTCACTCGCATCTGCAGCATTAATTTGCTTTCTCACTCTTTTCTCACTCATTCTTTTTACATGTCCAATCCACCGAAGTATCGAAATTTGATCTGGAAGATGTTTTGTCCTCTAAACGACAACAGAGCCTTGACATAAATCAGTAACAGAAAACCTATTCGGGATTAGTTAATCTGCTACCAAGTTGGTGTAGACGAGACCGAGCAAGCATGCCAGGGAGTCGGTATCATCCTTTCAGAAAGAATGGGTCATTGTGTGAAAGAGTATGAATGTGTAAGCCCGAGACTGCTATGGATACGAATGAAGGTGGGCTTAAAGAAGTTGTTTGTTTTAGGGGTCTACGCCCCAGACATGTCTAAGCCCACTTATATCCGAGAGCAGTTTTGGGAGTTGGTAAGGATGGTGCTAATGAAATGCAAGGTTAATGAAAATATTGTGATATTAGGCGATTTTAATGGAAGGGTTGGGGTGAGGAGGCTTGGTTATGAAAGGATATTGGGAACGTTTGGTGATGAAAGTATAAATGAGAATGGTGAAAGCCTTCTCGCCGTATGCGTGGAAAAGAGTCTTGTTGTGACGAACACTTTCTTTCGTCATAAGAAGATTCACACGTATACATGGGAAAGAGGTGATGATAGAAGTATGATAGATTTCATAATTGTTGATGAAAGAATGAGGAGCGCGGTGGTAGATACAAGGGTTTACCGGGGCTCTAACGTAGGGACGGATCATTACTTGGTCTTATGCCGAATTAATAGTCTTTTCAGACGTTGGAGGCATCGGACATCTGTGTCTACCACAGCGTTACAGCGTATAAGAACAGAGAGGTTACAAGATGAAGGTGTGAAAGAGAAGTTCAAATGTAGATTGAGAGAAAATATAAGTGGTATGGCTGAATTGTGTATGAATGATTTAGACTTGGAGACTGTGTGGTATAATTTTTAATTTTAATTTTAATTTTAATTTTTTGTGGTAGAGCCCTGCAGCAGTTTTTTGCTGTTGCACGTATGGGCCGGCTCGAGCCGGGTTGGTACCACGACCTCACAGAATACCGGCGTGAAGTAGAGGCTCTGCTTCTGCGTTTCGTCTGGTGAGTGCAGGTGGCCGGAAGCCCAATTCCCCCCCCCCCCCCCCCCCCATCAACATGGTAGCGGAATTAGACAATAGACTACCCCAGGAGGGTACCAGTACCCCTGGAGAATCCCTCGCTGAGCATCCACGACCATGTTATTCCAATCCTGAGCGTGGGTGCTCAGGCTGCCCCGCGTATTCTGGGGGGGGCAAAATTCCGCTCAAAAACAAAACTGCTCGGGGCAAGCTGAGCAACAATACCAAGGCGACCCCTGCCACGCTATCCGTGAATTTCTGCAACATCAGGGGACTTCACTCTAACCTAAACGCCGTCCACTACCATCTCGAGACGGCGAAGCCGGCCTTGCTCTTTTTGACCGAGACGCAGGTTTCCTCTCCGACTGATATTTCGTATCTCTCCTACCCGGGGTACAAATTGGAGCACTACTTTGTGCCTCGGGCTGGAGTTTGCGTGTATGTTAGAGAGGACATCTGTTCTCGACGCCTCGGCAGTCTTGAAGGTTCGGACCTGTCCATCCTTTGGCTACGCGTAGACAGCGACGACCATCCGCGCGTCTACGGGTGCCTCTATAGGTCCCATAGCGGTAATGCCGAAACAGACCGACTCATCGACCACGTCCAAATGGCTACAGATTCCTTGCTACAACAGGTCCCATCCGCAGAGATCGTGATCCTTGGCGATTTTAACGCCCACCATGCCGATTGGCTCGGTTCACGTTTAACCGATCATGCGGGGAGATCTGTTTATGACTTTGCCTTGGCATATGGTCTGACACAACTGGTTACTTCGCCTACGCGGATTCCAGATGTGGAGGATCATACACCTTCCCTGTTGGACCTTCTGCTGACCTCTCATCCGGACAGATATCAGGTTTCCGTCGATGCCCCTCTCGGCTCTTCGGACCATTGTCTGATCCGGAGTATGGTGCCACTCACGCTCCCTTCGCGGTTGCGTTCTGCAGGTTGCCGCCGTGTTTGGCATTACAGGTCGGCGGATTGGGACGGAATGCGGTCTTTCTTTGCATCCTACCCCCATGGGCGGGTTTGCTTCTCGCCGGATGATCCCAGTGCTGTTGCTGACTCTGTCACTGATGTGGTGCTACAGGGAATGGAACTATTTATTCCATCATCTGTGGTACCCATCGGAGGCAGATCTCAGCCTTGGTTTGGTCGCTCCTGTAAGACTGCATTGCGCAGTAAGCAGGAGTGTTATCAAGCCTGGGCTGCAGCTTCGGTGACTCGGGATGTAAACACCAGCACACTTAAAAAGAAGTATAACTTCGCCTCCAGGTCCTTCAAAAGAGTTATTGCCAAGGCAAAGTCAGAGCACATAGGCAGAATTGGCGAGAAACTAGTTCGCCTTCCTTCGGGAACCCGTGCATTCTGGTCTCTCGCCAAGGCTGTCCAAGGGAATTTCTGTAAGCCATCACTACCATCTCTGCACAGGGAGGACGACTCACTGGCCCAAGACGCAAAAGACAAAGCCGACCTTTTAGGCTCCCTTTTTGCGTCCAACTCGACTCTTGATGACGGGGGGAAAATACCGCCGACCATCCCGCGGTGTGAGTGCTCCATGCCGGATGTGCTATTCTCACAGCGCTCAGTTCGCAAAGCACTTCTCTCCCTGGACATCCAGAAGTCGAGTGGGCCTGACGGAATCCCCCCAATTGTGCTGAGGACGTGTGCTCCGGAGTTGGCACCGGTCCTAACGCGTCTTTTCCGGTACTCCTACTCCCAAGGCGTAGTCCCGAATTCATGGAAGACAGCTTTTGTCCACCCGATCCCTAAAAAAGGCGACCGCTCAGACCCGTCCAACTATAGGCCTATCGCGATCACCTCCTTGTTCTCCAAAATAATGGAATCCATTATTAACTGCCAGCTCATCCGGTACCTTGAGGATCACCAGCTGATTAGTGACCGCCAATACGGTTTTCGTCGGTGTCGATCAGCTGGTGATCTTCTGGTCTACCTGACCCATAGATGGGCGGAGGCAGTAGAGTCCAAGGGGGAGGCGTTGGCCGTTAGTCTGGACATTGCGAAGGCCTTTGATCGGGTTTGGCACAAAGCGCTTCTTTCAAAGCTGCCTTCCTATGGGCTTCCCGAGAAATTGTGCAATTGGATCACCAGCTTTCTTGCAGATCGGAGCATCAAGGTCGTTGTAGACGGTGCATGTTCTGACTACAAGCCTATTAACGCTGGTGTTCCACAAGGCTGTGTGCTATCCCAACGCTGTTTCTTCTGCATATCAATGATATGTTGCTAACTGGTAACATTCATTGCTATGCGGATGACAGCACTGGTGATGCTCTATACACCGGCCGGGCCAATATTTCTCGGGAAAACGTCGCCGAGTACCGGAACAAACTTGTGTCTGAAGTCGAGTCTTTGCTGGACAAAGTCTCGGATTGGGGGCGACTAAATCTAGTCCAGTTTAATCCTCAGAAGACACAAGTTTGCGCGTTTACCGCTAAAAAGAACCCCTTTGTCGTATCTCCTCAGTTTCAAGGCACTCCCCTTCTTGCCTCAGCCAGTATCGGTATCCTCGGAGTCGACATATCGAGTGACGTGCAGTTTCGTGGTCACTTGGAAGAGAAGGCCAAATTGGCCTCTAAAAAGCTTGGCGTGCTCAGCAGAGCGGGACAGTATTTCATGCCGGCACACCGCCTGCAACTTTACAAGGCGCAGGTTCGGCCTCACATGGAATACTGTTCCCATCTCTGGGCAGGGGCTCCCCAGTGCCAGCTCCTTCCACTTGACCGCATCCAGCGCAGAGCGGCTCGAATCGTCGACGACCGAGCCCTTTCCGATCGGCTCGATTCATTGGCACTGCGAAGAGATGTTGCATCTCTTTGCATTTTCTTTCGCATCTACCATGGGGAGTGCTCTGAGGAATTGTTCGGATTAATCCCAGCCGCCAAATTTCACGAACGCACATCGCGGCAGAACTCCCGATACCATCCACACCATCTGGATGATTGGCGGTCCACCACTGTGCGATTTAGAAGATGTTTTCTTCCTCGCACAACTTCCTTGTGGAATAGTTTACCACCAGGGATTTTTCCGGACCGATACGACTTAGGGACCTTCAAGAAAAGAGCCTACTCCTTTTTAAAAGGCCGGCAACGCATCTGCAATTCCCCTGGTGTTGCGGTTGTTCATGGGCGGCGGTAGTCACTTACCATCAGGTGAGCCGCATGCTCGTTTGCCCCCTCTCCTATAAAAAAAAAAAATGTCAAGAAAGGTTTAGTGGATGCAGCTACCGAAGTATGTGGTGTAAGTAAGAGAACGAATGAAAGGAAAAATAACACGTTATGGTGGGATGATGAGGTACGGATGGAAGTTGAAGCAAAGAAGAAAGCATGGCTAGATTTACTAGCAACCAAGGCTAGTAATTCTAACAGTATGAATGATGATATTGAAAGGAAAAAGGCAGTTTTTAGAAACCTAAATAAGAGAGTAAAAGAAGTAGTTGAAAGGAAAAAGCAGGAAAGAACGGATAAGAATAATAGAAGAATATCGGATAACTTCCAGGCAAACATTAAAATGTTCTGGAAACTCGTAAGAACTACCAGGGGACATTCAAAACAGCCTAGAATGAATGCTATACGAGACCAGAATGGCTGTATTCTGAATGACGAAGCTCTGAGTTTAAGGAAATGGAAGGAATACTTTGAAAGCGTGTTTATGAGTGATGAGACGTTTGAATTAAATGAAATAGAAATTCCGAAAGAAGAGGAAATAGATAGAGATATAAGTATAGATGAAATAATGAAAGCAATGAAAAGTATGAAAGCAGGTAAGGCAGCCGGTTATGATAGAGTATCTCTCGAAATGCTAAGGGCTGGAGAAGGAGTGGTGGCAGACCTGCTGTACACCTTGTTTAATTTATGTTTGGAACTTAAGCGGGTACCGGGAGACTGGTGCAAATCCGTGATAGTCCCAATATATAAGGGAAAAGGATCACAGCAGGACTGTAAAAACTACCGTGGTATCAGCCTTCTTAGCATTGTGGGAAAACTGTATGCTAAGGTACTAATTGAAAGAGTTATGAAATAAACTGATGGAAAAATTTGGGATGTACAAGCGGGATTTAGAAAGGGAATGGGATGTACGGATCAGGTCTTTTCCATGCGCATGATCGCGGAGAAGTTTTTGGCCAAAAACCAAAAAGTTTTTTGTGCGTTCATAGACTTGGAGAAGGCTTATGACAGAGTGAACAGGGATGTGTTATGGCAAACCCTGAACTCATTTGGGTTGAGCGCTGGTCTGATACAGGCATTGAAGTCTCTATATAGGGACTCTAGTGCTTGTGTCAGGATCAACGGGGCCTACTCGGACTGGTTTGGCATCCATTAAGGTGTCAGACAGGGTTGTGTGGCTTCCCCGTGGTTGTTCAACCTATTTATGGACAGTTGTTTGGAAAATTTGAAAGTAGAAGAATGCGGGTTAAGAATGGGTGAGTTAACCGTCAAATGCCTTTTGTACGCCGATGATCAAGTCATACTTGCATCGTCGGCAGCCGAGTTGCAAATGATGGTTACATTAATGAACAGGACATTAAAAGAAAAGGGAATGAAAGTGAACGCAAGTAAGACGAAAGTTATGGTTTTTGAAAGAGAAGAAAGTAAAACGATATGTGAAATAAGAATAGAAGGGGAGTTGGTAGAGCAAGTAGATGAGTTTGTATATTTGGGATGTGTGTTTAGCAGGGATGGTAGATATGATAAGGATATAGAACGACGAGTGAATGCAGGAAATAGAGTGAATGGGGCTCTACACTCTATTGTGAAAAGTCAGAATGTGTCCAAAAAGGCACGTATGGCAATTCACAATGCTGTGTTAGTACCTACTTTAATGTATGGTAGTGAAAGTTGGGTGTGGCAGAAGAAGCACGAGAGTAGAATAAATGCTGTAGAAATGCGGTCATTAAGGAGTATGTTAGGGATGAATCTGAATGACAGAGTGAGAAATTGTTTAATAAGAGAAGAGTGCGGTTTGCAAGATAATGTTGTGACCAGGATTAGGAAAGGAATGCTTCGGTGGTTTGGCCATGTAGAAAGAATGAATGAGGAAAGAGTGACAAAGCAAATTTATGTTGCAGAGGTGAACGGCATAGTCGGTAAGGGTCGCCCTAGGCGAAAGTTTATCGACCAAATTGGCGATATATTAAAAATGGGCCAAATCAAGAGTACCTTTAACCGACGAGCGTGTATGCGTAGGTATATGGATGTGGAGGAAGCGAGAGAGGTGTGTCAGGATCGTGCCAAATGGAAGTCCATAATCTCTGCCTACCCCTCTGGGTGACAGGCGTGAGTGTTTATGTTTATTATGCTACCAAGCTTCGCCTCATACATACACTGGTGAAACTCATAATCCACTGAATTTATACAATCTCAATTTTTTTATTAATTCTGGTTTGAGATAGATTTATACAGGCCAAAAAATTTAGTTAAAAACCAAAAAGCTATAAATACAATTATCTATTTTGAATATCGTGTAACTGTCACCGTTTAAACAAATGTTAATAAAGTCTGTGTAAATTTTTTATCACCTTTGATGTGCTTGATGCCTCGCACGGAACTCGGCAGCCTTCAACTGCTCCAAATGGAATTGCTGTCGTTCTTGAATCAATTGCTGCCTTTGATATTCAAGACCTAATAAAAAAGTTATCGTTATATTTTTTGTTATAAATATATGGAGTGGTGTTTCTCTGCGTGATAGAATTTGTAATTAGGATATCTCCAGTGGCGTAGCTAGGCGTGGGCAAAGTCTCGCTTACGGCCTCGGGAGGCCCCTTACAGTGCGATGCCTGCGGACTTGACCATAGATGACTAATTAATGAGGGCATCCACGACTTTTTCTGCCACCAGGGCGGCGCCACTTTAGAGTAAGGTAAAATATTTGACAGATTTCATAGCGCGGATGATAATTTCTTAGGAAAATGTAATCTTGAAGGTTTCTTTATGTATTATTAGTTATATTTTATATTAATTACATTAGAAATGAATAAACGAAACTATAAACATAACTAAAAGACGACTTTTTAAAAAAAAAAAGAGTTATAATGTGCAAAAAATTAAAAATCAAACCACTGACGCATTGTGTTGTGTATTAATATAATACTCTAGATAATGATAAACTATTATTTAAAACTAATTTCTCAATAACTGACACTGTGTAACAAAAAATTTTACCTCAGTCACAACTAGCGACATCTGGTGAGTGGAAGATTATTAGCCCTCATTTGATCACTTGTACGCTCTAAAAAGAAAGTCGAAAATTGAAATGTGTTTGTTTGTGGCCTCGTAAGAAGCCCCTCTTAAGTGCGACTGAGATTCCGTTGTAACTACCTTCAAAGACCGCAACCGTTAGATTGGCGGAATACGAGACCTGTCATGAATTAATAGCTATGAGTAGGTATGTCGTGTCAAAGCATGTTTGGTAGGATAGAGCTATTGGGTAGATCTTGGGAACGAAAGAAAAGGGGCCTCGCAGATGCGACTTCGCCCACGTCTATATTAGTCCATGCCACGCCTCTGTATATCTATAATGGAACTAGAGTAATCGACGTCTAACGGTTCAGCAAGCTGAAGTGGAAATGGGCTAGCCATAAATCTTGTAGAAGTGTGTCTCGGGCGAGTGAGTGTGCGGGTGCGTGGGTGTGTCTGTGGGTAGCCGTGTTTGTGTGTGTATGTGTGCGTGTGCGCGCGTGAACGAACAGTGAGTGCCTGCGTAAGTGTACGAAGAAATATTAACACAACCACCCAAATTGCCTGTATTTTTTTTTATTTAAAAAAAGTGTAAATTTGGACAATATTTAGATGGCCAGGTTTATAATAGTACGTTACATGTTCATATTTTATATTTTTGTTAATTTCTGGGGTTGTTGCAATCACATCAATTTGCTTGTCTTAATTTGATTTATTACTTTAATTTGAGCGATTTACTTATTTTACTAACATTAAATAAATAATACAAAATTAAATCTTTGTATCCAACACGATAGTCAAAGTGACGGTTAGCTTTCCGACTATACGTTGTTTCCTTATGATATGAGTATCAATTAGACTAATATAGTGTTGATAATTAGCGTGACGTGCGCACCCTCCCTCTCGCGCTCCATGGTGGCCTCGAGCTCCTCGAAGTGGCGCAGCTTGATCTCGAGCTTCTTCATCTGCGTCTCGACCAGCAGCGCCACGAGCGACTTGATCTTGCGCTCCTCGACGCCGGCCAGGTGCTTGGCCTTGACCGCGGCCGCCGCCAGCGCCGCCGCCGCCGCCGCCGCCACGCCCGCCTCCACAGCGCCACCGCTGCCACCGCTGCCACCGCCTGCCACGCCGCCTGCAGCACCGCCTGCAGCCGCACCGCACTCTGCACACACATTTATTTATTTACAAAAGGCAAACTTAATGCCTTATGGCATTCTCTAACACCAGTCAACCCATGGAGGGTGAGTACTTATTTATTTATTTATATGTCCATGTATAAAGTAATACAGAAACTCTTCGGAAGCTTTTTTAATGTTAAGAGGGATGCCGTTCCAGAATCTGATGGCCATGAGGACGAAAGAATTAGATAAGTAACCAGTACCGTGTACAGACATAAGCAACTTAAGAGTACACGAAGAACAGAGAGAACAATTATGAGAATCTCTCAGGTATTACAATTTGTATTTCAAATACAGAATTTGACGTAGTAAGTGTAGCAATAAAGAATAAATAAATAAAATTAACATGATATACGAAAACAATTACACAAGATAATGTAGATATTTAACTACATAAATATACATTATTGTAAGACACCTTAAACTAAGGGTTATGAGCGGACTTAATGCCTTATGCACGCGGCATACGTACATGCGGCGGGACTTACTCAACTTCAATACAGCTCGTAGTGAAGAAGCGATCGAGCGGAACCAGGGCTCCAAAGTCTTTGCTAGAGATCTGTCTGCCAGAAAGAGCCAACTGTCAAAGCTAAAAATCGATTGTGGCAGCGTCATTTCTGAGTCACCTGAGAGTTTGAATGAGATTGAGATGTTCTATGAGCAGCTGTACACATCATTGTTGCAGCCACACGCAAGTGTGAGTAACGATCCAAGAGCAAGTCTTATACCACACTATTCCGATGATATTTCAGACGTCAGTCTGAGCGCGATTATAATGACTCACCAGCACATTAAAAACGACAGGGCCCCAGGCGAGGATGGAATTACAGCGGAGCTTCTGAAAGTGGATGGAAAACCGGTACTTGAAGTCCTTTAGAAGCTCTTTAATTCCGTCCTCCGTGGTGGCATTACACGTGGTGGAGAAGTGCGGTGGTCTTGTTCTTCAAGAAAAGTGACAACGCTCTCTTGAAGAACTACAGACCGAATTCCCTTCTGAGCCGCGTCTACGTGCGGTTTTCGAGAGTTGTTACGAATCGTTTCGCACGCAGACTTTACGACTTCCAGCCTCCCGAACAAGCTGGTTTCCGAAAAGGCTTTAGCCCCATAGACTACATACATATTCTTCGGAAAATTATGCAGAAGTCCGAGAAGTACAATTTGCCACTATGTCTGGCGTATGTCGACTATGAGAAAGCCTTTGATTCCATCGAAATTTGGGCGGTGCTGCAGTTGCTCCAGCGGTGCCAAGTGGACTGTCGGTATATCGAAGTGCTGAAGTCTTAGTACAGTAGGTCTACATTGGATATCCGAGTACAGAATCAGAGTATGAAACCTATTCAACTGCAGAGAGGTGTAAGACAGGGTGACGTTATATCCCCGAAACTCTTCACCGCTGCATTAGAAGACTTTTTCAAGTTACTGGACTGGAAAGGATACGGTATTAATATCAACCGAGAGTACATCACTCACCTTTGATTTGCCGATGATATAGCCCTTACGGCAGAATTGCTGGAGAACCTAAGCACTATGCTCAATGACCTCAATAGTGTCTCCCAACGGATAGGTCTTAAGATGAACATGGACAAAACAAATGTATAACGTCGATGTCACACCTATGCCGGTAGCTGTTGGTAGCACTAAGCTCGAAGTTGTTGACGAGTATGTTTACTTGGGAAAAATAGTCCGACTAGGTAAGTCCAACTTCGACCGAGAGGTCAATCAATAGATTCAACTCGGCTGAGCAATGTTTGGGAAATTACGACACATCTCCTCGTCAGGTATACCCCAAAACCTGAAAACGAGATTGTACAACCAGTGCGTGTTGCCAGTGATGACTTATGGATTTGAGACGTGGTCCTTCACTGCTGCCCGTATGAGGATGCTCAAAGTAGCTCAGCGAGCTATGGAGAGGGCTATGCTCGGGGTTTTTCTGCGTGATAAACTTAGAAATGAGGATATCCATAGTAGAATCAGAGTAACCGACATAGCCCAACGGATTAGTAACCTGAAGTGGCAATGGGCCGGCCGAAGAAGCTCGAAGGACCGACAACCGATGGGGAAAAAAGGTTCTCGAGTGGCAGCCTCGTACCAGCGGACGATGTGTAGGGCATCCCATTACTAGATGGAGTGACGATCTGGTAAGACATGCAGGAAGTCGATGGATGCAGGTGGCTCAGGACCGTTCTTTGTGGCATTCCTTGGGGGAGGCCTATGTTCACTTGACTTGTAAAGAGCTGTAATGATGATGATTATAATAATGCCTTATGACATTCACTACGATTCCATCCTCGGAAAACTAAAAAATAAAAGTTTGTAGGTATTAAAAACCGTAGAAAATAACTAAAACATAATACACCTAATGTAAATAAAGTACTGTTTGCAACTAGAGGCGCAAGCTTCGTTAATATCAAAAAATAACATCCCCTAAAAACAGAAATCTATCGAAATGTCGATTTTTTTTCAAATGTTTAATGCGAGAAAACAAAAAAAAAAATAACAAAAAGGTATATATCACATATATAATTTTTAATGTACTAAATTTGACATTGACAGTCATAATATCAATATCTACTCTTGACTCGTAAGACAACTATGGAATATACCGAAAAGATCTTATGGCTTTCGACAGATGGCGACAAACCCATCTTGTTAACGTCATGTGTTAACTACCCAGGCAGGCGACGGGGAACAGCATTAAAGGTGGGAGACGTCTGATATTACAACGAATAAAAATCCGATCCACAGCGTCTATACGTAGCAGATAGAAATAATTGCGCATTTAGCATCTTACGGCTAAAATCCGAAGTGCGGTTACACCTAGTTCTAGCCAGCTAGAATTGTGTTGTGTGCGACCAGCAGTAGTTGGTTTAATTTAGGTGTACTGTTAAATTTGTAAAAACACGGATATACGTATAAGTAATATCAGCAACAGTATGTTAAGGTGCGGTACCCAAAACCGCAGACATTTATCTTATTTATAAATTATATGTGATACACCTAAGTTTAACCAACCGCAATAGGCTGCACCTAGCAGTAGCCGGCTAAACCTAGGTGTATCCGCACTTCGGCTTTTAACCATAACACATACAAAACAAACTTCTCAAAGTGCTTGTCTAAATCTTTTAGTAAAGATCACATAGTCAATTAATATTATTAAGTTGTTCTAACAGGTCCCAGGTTAGGAACTTGCAACTTATTATACCTTGATATTCGGAATATCTAGCGTAAGTTGAGTTTGGACCTTTGGCTTCAGATTCCCTTCGGATATTCAATATCGGATAAATTCACTATCCGTTGATTATCTCTTATTACTGGATTTACTGACAAAATTATTGCAAAGAAGTTGGCAAGCCACAAAAATCGAAAGTTTTTTTTTAATTCTGCATGCTATTTACCAGGAGGAGGCGTCGCGGTCTCCTTTCTATCCTTAGCTTCATCAGCGGATGTTGCGTCAGATGGCTCGTCTTTCACCTTCACCTCGCTTTCTTCAACCTCCATTGGTTCCGTTTTCACATCCGACGGTTCTTCTTTCTTTTCACCTGTATAAAATAATATGAATAATAAAATTGTTAGTGATATCAGATGACAGCAATATCTAGTAAATATCTGCACATGTGAACTTTTTTTTATTAATAGAACTTTATTAGTGGGAACGCTGAAACAGGTGCTCCGATGGTGATGTGAATCTCCAGATAAGGTGTCTGAGTGCTTAGGCGCCTTGACAAACTATCGCAAACTGTCTGCTGGCTCAAGTAGACGTAGAAATCTCCCAAGGGCTGCGCAATGTGACGCATCAATATATTGTGAAGCAGACTACTATGAAGGATTATTATCACTTTATATTGAGATAATTGAAGACATGTCTTAAAGGACAAACATCCAAGCCAAAAATCTTAGTAAAAAATAGGTATAACTTCTTCTTCTTAATAACTGGCTTTACGGATCTGGGATCTAGCCCTTCTGAGCCTGAAGTTACAATATTATATTATAATAATTATTCTTCATAGTATACTGCTTCACAATATGTTGATGCGTCACATTGTGCAGCCCTCGGGAGATTTTGACGGTAACTTGAGCCAGCAGACAGCTGACGGTTGGCGATGGTATCTCAAGGCGCCTAAGCAGACAGGCACCTTATTTTGAGAATCACATCACTATCAGAGCACTTGTTTCACAGTTTCCACTAATAGTTCACATGCGCAGACACTTAATACACAAAATCGCACCACTTTTACATATCAAAGTCCACTTCAAACCATTATTTAAACAATAAAACAGGAGCAGCAAACCGACGCCGATCAAGTTCCCGCCAAAACTACAATAGGTATAAAGAGCAGCAGCTGTACAGAGCAACATTCGTACAGATCGGCGTTCGTACAGAGCATCGCGTACCTGGCGGCTTGACGTCTGGCGCGGTGCCAGCGATGCCGGTGGCAGCGAGAGCGGCGGCCGGCCCGTGTGCGCCCGCCGCCTTCACGTGCGCCTCCATCATGGCCGCCGGAACCTCGTCCTACACACAAATGTTGCAACTTTATTACTCAGCTTTTTTCCAGTTACTCGACTCCAAAGAGTCAATAATTCCTTTATGGGGCAATCTTATATCCTTATATATCAAAAAGTAAAATTTTTTAATTAAGCCAAAATTGTTTAGTAAGAGTTATTTATTATACAATTAAAGAGTACATGATTGATAATAACACCTGGGAATGAGGTGATCTACGATGATGATCTAAGGTGCTGTTTCTAAATGTTAAATAATTTAATTAAAAAAGTTTTTGTAAAAAAAAAGTCCGACTGGGTTTCTTGCTGGTTCTTTCCAGGACAAAGGTTTTTTTCCGAACCAGTGGTAAGGCATTTAAATAACTTTCAATAAGTATTCTTATTCTTAGGATGGTTTCACAGCTATACTGGAGTTCCATACGGGTAGTCCGTACGGGCTCCCGGAGCAGAGATAGACGTGAGGCGCTAGAACATCGTTTCACAGCGACGCGGATTGTTCCGTAAGGGACTCGCTCCGCGTAGAGCCCGTACAACACCACCCGCGTCCCGCACCCGCACCCCCGTACATGCAGACGCGAGCGCACCGCTACTCATCCATCACAGCAATGCGGAGTGCCCGCGCTCCGTGAGTAAAATCGAAATGAATCGATTAATTGACACGGGATTTGGCATAGACATATATATTTCTCATAGATATATATAGACATAGATAGCAGCACGAAACATGTCTTGATGTTTTATTCTGTTCTCCAACCTGAATAGTAATATATCAAAACTACTAATCGACATAAGAAAATAATTAAAAAATTTGCGCTGATCGTTCCTAAGTTTATAGTTTAAGGTTACAAATGCACTTTTGAAACATCTTGCTTCGATGATGGGATGTACCCATAGTCTCTTTCTCTGTCGTCGCCGTCTCTCACAAATTAAATAAACACCAATAATTTTTAATACGTTCGCATTCACTTTCATTTGCGAATGTCTTCCGCTAGCACTCGTATCGTACTAAACACTCGTTTCAGAGCACCGTGGGCGCTATCTGTAGGGGTCTTCCGCATTACGGGCTACCTGTACGGCACTCCCGTACAGCTGTGAAACCAGCCTCATATATCTTGTTCAATAAATATTGTTATATTTATATTGAATAAAAAATACTCACCGTTGAATACATAGTAGGTTATCAACTAAAACAAGTATACACGACTGACTGATACATTTTCTTATTTTAAATTATATGTTGAAAGTTGATTTAAAACAAATATTCTTTATGTAATGAATCGACTATTATTTTGTGATATTTCATATCAAGAAACTTACCTTGATAGCAGCAAATTCATCCATAGCAGCCCTGGTAGCCTTAGAGGCTATTCGTGGATCGACAACTGACGCCAAAAACGCCACTGTACTCATCACTGGGTTGCCGACTTTGCTGAAGGGTATCGGCTGATAGGCAAGAGGACCTAGTACGCCACCTGCGAAATTTACTCTAATTAGCTAAACATACGTAATATTTCATTATAATCTATATATATAATCTATCTAATATATAAGGTATGTTTTGGCAGCTTGTAACTCTCAGCAATAAGAAGTCTTAACTCTAGTAGTAGAATGTTTTTGTGTTTATTCCTTTTTAAAAAATTACGGAAATTGACGGATCTGTGGTGCAGTAGCTTAGCAATGAGGTGCAGCGCTGAGGGCCGCGGGTTCGAATCCCGCACGAAACAAGCATTAGTATAAACCCGAACTAATGCCTACAATCTTTTCTATGTCCGTATATGTGATTTGTGGGTCTTCTCGCACCAACATTTCAGTAGTCCATACATTTTCTGCCGATACTGCTATTTGCGGGGCTAAAAATAATTGTTCCGGGTCTGGATGTTTGTCCTTGTGCAATTTATGTTTGTAAACTGCCTCCACGATACAGAAGAAAATCTAAGTGTGGGGGTAACGTTTTTTTTTTTTTTAAATAATGAATGAATCATGTATTCATTCATTATTTAAATATAGTGAATCTTTTTAGGTGATGTTTGTGCTGTTAGAGCTTTTACGATTATAAGAAGAATTATACGAAGTTAAGGGGTATATGGATGATTAAGGGTGGTGAGTGGTAAATGGTGAGTAGTGAGAGGCGAGGTGCGAGGGTGCGCACCGGAGGCGGAGTCCTGCAGGTAGGGCTCCTCGATGGGCAGGCGCAGGAAGTGCAGGATGCACTCGTCGTGCGTGCGCGTGCCCACGTGCGCGGCGACGCGGTTCCAGTCGTCGCGGTGCAGCTCCAGCGCCTCCAGCAGCAGCAGTGAGTGCTAGTGTGTGGGGGTGCGCACCGGAGGCGGAGTCCTGCAGGTAGGGCTCCTCGATGGGCAGGCGCAGGAAGTGCAGGATGCACTCGTCGTGCGTGCGCGTGCCCACGTGCGCGGCGACGCGGTTCCAGTCGTCGCGGTGCAGCTCCAGCGCCTCCAGCAGCAGCAGTGAGTGCTAGTGTGTGGGGGTGCGCACCGGAGGCGGAGTCCTGCAGGTAGGGCTCCTCGATGGGCAGGCGCAGGAAGTGCAGGATGCACTCGTCGTGCGTGCGCGTGCCCACGTGCGCGGCGACGCGGTTCCAGTCGTCGCGGTGCAGCTCCAGCGCCTCCAGCAGCAGCAGTGAGTGCTAGTGTGTGGGGGTGCGCACCGGAGGCGGAGTCCTGCAGGTAGGGCTCCTCGATGGGCAGGCGCAGGAAGTGCAGGATGCACTCGTCGTGCGTGCGCGTGCCCACGTGCGCGGCGACGCGGTTCCAGTCGTCGCGGTGCAGCTCCAGCGCCTCCAGCAGCAGCAGTGAGTGCTAGTGTGTGGGGGTGCGCACCGGAGGCGGAGTCCTGCAGGTAGGGCTCCTCGATGGGCAGGCGCAGGAAGTGCAGGATGCACTCGTCGTGCGTGCGCGTGCCCACGTGCGCGGCGACGCGGTTCCAGTCGTCGCGGTGCAGCTCCAGCGCCTCCAGCAGCAGCAGTGAGTGCTAGTGTGTGGGGGTGCGCACCGGAGGCGGAGTCCTGCAGGTAGGGCTCCTCGATGGGCAGGCGCAGGAAGTGCAGGATGCACTCGTCGTGCGTGCGCGTGCCCACGTGCGCGGCGACGCGGTTCCAGTCGTCGCGGTGCAGCTCCAGCGCCTCCAGCAGCAGCAGTGAGTGCTAGTGTGTGGGGGTGCGCACCGGAGGCGGAGTCCTGCAGGTAGGGCTCCTCGATGGGCAGGCGCAGGAAGTGCAGGATGCACTCGTCGTGCGTGCGCGTGCCCACGTGCGCGGCGACGCGGTTCCAGTCGTCGCGGTGCAGCTCCAGCGCCTCCAGCAGCAGCAGTGAGTGCTAGTGTGTGGGGGTGCGCACCGGAGGCGGAGTCCTGCAGGTAGGGCTCCTCGATGGGCAGGCGCAGGAAGTGCAGGATGCACTCGTCGTGCGTGCGCGTGCCCACGTGCGCGGCGACGCGGTTCCAGTCGTCGCGGTGCAGCTCCAGCGCCTCCAGCAGCAGCAGTGAGTGCTAGTGTGTGGGGGTGCGCACCGGAGGCGGAGTCCTGCAGGTAGGGCTCCTCGATGGGCAGGCGCAGGAAGTGCAGGATGCACTCGTCGTGCGTGCGCGTGCCCACGTGCGCGGCGACGCGGTTCCAGTCGTCGCGGTGCAGCTCCAGCGCCTCCAGCAGCAGCAGTGAGTGCTAGTGTGTGGGGGTGCGCACCGGAGGCGGAGTCCTGCAGGTAGGGCTCCTCGATGGGCAGGCGCAGGAAGTGCAGGATGCACTCGTCGTGCGTGCGCGTGCCCACGTGCGCGGCGACGCGGTTCCAGTCGTCGCGGTGCAGCTCCAGCGCCTCCAGCAGCAGCAGTGAGTGCTAGTGTGTGGGGGTGCGCACCGGAGGCGGAGTCCTGCAGGTAGGGCTCCTCGATGGGCAGGCGCAGGAAGTGCAGGATGCACTCGTCGTGCGTGCGCGTGCCCACGTGCGCGGCGACGCGGTTCCAGTCGTCGCGGTGCAGCTCCAGCGCCTCCAGCAGCAGCAGTGAGTGCTAGTGTGTGGGGGTGCGCACCGGAGGCGGAGTCCTGCAGGTAGGGCTCCTCGATGGGCAGGCGCAGGAAGTGCAGGATGCACTCGTCGTGCGTGCGCGTGCCCACGTGCGCGGCGACGCGGTTCCAGTCGTCGCGGTGCAGCTCCAGCGCCTCCAGCAGCAGCAGTGAGTGCTAGTGTGTGGGGGTGCGCACCGGAGGCGGAGTCCTGCAGGTAGGGCTCCTCGATGGGCAGGCGCAGGAAGTGCAGGATGCACTCGTCGTGCGTGCGCGTGCCCACGTGCGCGGCGACGCGGTTCCAGTCGTCGCGGTGCAGCTCCAGCGCCTCCAGCAGCAGCAGTGAGTGCTAGTGTGTGGGGGTGCGCACCGGAGGCGGAGTCCTGCAGGTAGGGCTCCTCGATGGGCAGGCGCAGGAAGTGCAGGATGCACTCGTCGTGCGTGCGCGTGCCCACGTGCGCGGCGACGCGGTTCCAGTCGTCGCGGTGCAGCTCCAGCGCCTCCAGCAGCAGCAGTGAGTGCTAGTGTGTGGGGGTGCGCACCGGAGGCGGAGTCCTGCAGGTAGGGCTCCTCGATGGGCAGGCGCAGGAAGTGCAGGATGCACTCGTCGTGCGTGCGCGTGCCCACGTGCGCGGCGACGCGGTTCCAGTCGTCGCGGTGCAGCTCCAGCGCCTCCAGCAGCAGCAGTGAGTGCTAGTGTGTGGGGGTGCGCACCGGAGGCGGAGTCCTGCAGGTAGGGCTCCTCGATGGGCAGGCGCAGGAAGTGCAGGATGCACTCGTCGTGCGTGCGCGTGCCCACGTGCGCGGCGACGCGGTTCCAGTCGTCGCGGTGCAGCTCCAGCGCCTCCAGCAGCAGCAGTGAGTGCTAGTGTGTGGGGGTGCGCACCGGAGGCGGAGTCCTGCAGGTAGGGCTCCTCGATGGGCAGGCGCAGGAAGTGCAGGATGCACTCGTCGTGCGTGCGCGTGCCCACGTGCGCGGCGACGCGGTTCCAGTCGTCGCGGTGCAGCTCCAGCGCCTCCAGCAGCAGCAGTGAGTGCTAGTGTGTGGGGGTGCGCACCGGAGGCGGAGTCCTGCAGGTAGGGCTCCTCGATGGGCAGGCGCAGGAAGTGCAGGATGCACTCGTCGTGCGTGCGCGTGCCCACGTGCGCGGCGACGCGGTTCCAGTCGTCGCGGTGCAGCTCCAGCGCCTCCAGCAGCAGCAGTGAGTGCTAGTGTGTGGGGGTGCGCACCGGAGGCGGAGTCCTGCAGGTAGGGCTCCTCGATGGGCAGGCGCAGGAAGTGCAGGATGCACTCGTCGTGCGTGCGCGTGCCCACGTGCGCGGCGACGCGGTTCCAGTCGTCGCGGTGCAGCTCCAGCGCCTCCAGCAGCAGCAGTGAGTGCTAGTGTGTGGGGGTGCGCACCGGAGGCGGAGTCCTGCAGGTAGGGCTCCTCGATGGGCAGGCGCAGGAAGTGCAGGATGCACTCGTCGTGCGTGCGCGTGCCCACGTGCGCGGCGACGCGGTTCCAGTCGTCGCGGTGCAGCTCCAGCGCCTCCAGCAGCAGCAGTGAGTGCTAGTGTGTGGGGGTGCGCACCGGAGGCGGAGTCCTGCAGGTAGGGCTCCTCGATGGGCAGGCGCAGGAAGTGCAGGATGCACTCGTCGTGCGTGCGCGTGCCCACGTGCGCGGCGACGCGGTTCCAGTCGTCGCGGTGCAGCTCCAGCGCCTCCAGCAGCAGCAGTGAGTGCTAGTGTGTGGGGGTGCGCACCGGAGGCGGAGTCCTGCAGGTAGGGCTCCTCGATGGGCAGGCGCAGGAAGTGCAGGATGCACTCGTCGTGCGTGCGCGTGCCCACGTGCGCGGCGACGCGGTTCCAGTCGTCGCGGTGCAGCTCCAGCGCCTCCAGCAGCAGCAGTGAGTGCTAGTGTGTGGGGGTGCGCACCGGAGGCGGAGTCCTGCAGGTAGGGCTCCTCGATGGGCAGGCGCAGGAAGTGCAGGATGCACTCGTCGTGCGTGCGCGTGCCCACGTGCGCGGCGACGCGGTTCCAGTCGTCGCGGTGCAGCTCCAGCGCCTCCAGCAGCAGCAGTGAGTGCTAGTGTGTGGGGGTGCGCACCGGAGGCGGAGTCCTGCAGGTAGGGCTCCTCGATGGGCAGGCGCAGGAAGTGCAGGATGCACTCGTCGTGCGTGCGCGTGCCCACGTGCGCGGCGACGCGGTTCCAGTCGTCGCGGTGCAGCTCCAGCGCCTCCAGCAGCAGCAGTGAGTGCTAGTGTGTGGGGGTGCGCACCGGAGGCGGAGTCCTGCAGGTAGGGCTCCTCGATGGGCAGGCGCAGGAAGTGCAGGATGCACTCGTCGTGCGTGCGCGTGCCCACGTGCGCGGCGACGCGGTTCCAGTCGTCGCGGTGCAGCTCCAGCGCCTCCAGCAGCAGCAGTGAGTGCTAGTGTGTGGGGGTGCGCACCGGAGGCGGAGTCCTGCAGGTAGGGCTCCTCGATGGGCAGGCGCAGGAAGTGCAGGATGCACTCGTCGTGCGTGCGCGTGCCCACGTGCGCGGCGACGCGGTTCCAGTCGTCGCGGTGCAGCTCCAGCGCCTCCAGCAGCAGCAGTGAGTGCTAGTGTGTGGGGGTGCGCACCGGAGGCGGAGTCCTGCAGGTAGGGCTCCTCGATGGGCAGGCGCAGGAAGTGCAGGATGCACTCGTCGTGCGTGCGCGTGCCCACGTGCGCGGCGACGCGGTTCCAGTCGTCGCGGTGCAGCTCCAGCGCCTCCAGCAGCAGCAGCGTCTCCTGCTCCGTCCACTCGCGCCCGCGCGTCCCGCCGCGGTACTGATCACACAACACAGTTCATTGTTATCACCATGCATCAACGGATCATTACGCTTCACTAGATTTACAATGCTGTGTTCCGGCATGAATATAGTCAGTATAAGGCTGTGAGGTGTTTCATTATAGTTCTCACAGATAAAAACGAATCTGTAACTTTCTTTATTTGAAGTCGGACTGCAGGTGTCCATGGACTGCAGTAGCTACTTACCAACAGATGGACTGTAAGTTTGTTTGTCATTTCGGTTTTATAAAAAAAAAACTATACTGGCTATGAGTCGAGGTATTTAGCTTGAAGAACCGAAAACCGATGAGCAAGAAAGGTCTTCTAACGGTAGCTTATCGTCAAACGAAGTGTAGGACCACCTCAAATTAGATGGAATGTCGATCTGGTAAGACATACAAAAAGTCAAAGCGTGGCTCGGGAACGTATTTTGTGGCATTGTTAGGAGAGGCCTATGACCAGCAGTATTTGTGAAGGGCTGTAATAATAATGACGTAATTACTATTACCATTTATCATCTGTTTTCGACTCAAGTCTGATGTTAGCAAAAAAATAGACATCTTTCTTCTATAAAAAGATATTTTAATATGAAGGTGTACTAATGATCGCCTAGTGTATTTATTTCCCTTTCAATTATACAAAATATAAAATAAACGCTATTTTCGCCTAGACATACACTCTACTACTATTACAGCATTAAAAAAACTGCTAATTAAAAAGCATTTGAAATTACACAAAATTCCCAGTTTATTTAGTCCATGTATCAGAAATTGTTTATTGGCAACATGTTAATATTCGTTGATTTTTTTTATTATTAAGATTTTTGGCTTGGATGCTTATCTTTTAAGCCATATCTTTATTTATTTCAGTATCAAGTGATAATAATCGTTTTCAAAATATGTTCATGCGTCACATTGCGTAGTTATGGGAGATATTGATCCAGCAGACAGTTGGCGATACTATCTCAAGGCGCTTAAGCAGCCTTATCTTAAGATTCACATTATCATCGGAGCACTTGTTTCACCATGGCCACTAATAGTTCATATGCGCAGACATTTAATACACAAAATCGCACCACTTTATATATTAAAATCCACTTCAAACCACTATTTAAACGATAATACAGGAGCAGCAATCAGCCGCCGGTCAAGTTCCCGCCAAAACTCATCTCTATTTCTCTATATAAACTTTAACAATGCCAATTCTCACAACCTGCTGTGCGCACAATATGCTTTAAAAGGGGTAATATACTTAGAAAGTTTTCTTTACGTATTAATATATAGAATAAAATAAAATTGTTTTCAAAATTAGAAACGGTATTGGCCTATATTTACACAAATGGATCGTCACCCAAATAGCAGGTTATGTCTAAACAAATTATTCTTGGATATAACGCAGTGACTTTTGCGAGCTGATAAAAAGACCATAAGCAGGAGTTTAGCACTGACATAGTCCTGAGAAAAAGAAAATAAAAGAAAAAATGTGCAACATCGACCTGGTCAAGTTTGAGTCCGGGCGTTGTGCCCAGGTCGATGGTGGGCTCCTGCTTGACGGTCGCTGGCGGTGCGGCCGGAGCTGGCGCTGCGGCGGGCGCGGGCGGGGCGGTGGGCGCGGGCGCGGGGGCGGGTCCGGGGGCCGCGGCCGGGGCGGCGGCCGCGGCGCCGGCTGCGGCGGCAGCAGCTGCTGGAGCCCCGGCCTCCGTGCCGTTCGGCAGCCCAGCCTCCACTTTAGGCACGGCCGCGTTTTCTGCTGTAAACAAAACAATCTCTGTAAGTCATCGATGTACACTAAATAAAAAATGGCAATGCCACACGAAATTATAACATAATCAAATTCAGGATTTTCTTAGGTGGCAGAGCGATTCTGCAACTATATTACTGGTATAGTTGTAGCACGAATGGGTCGGCTCGACCGGTGAAGGATACGCTCTCACAAAATACCAGCGCAAAATAGCAACTTAATGCTGTTTCTTATGGTAAGTGTAGAGAACTGGAGACCCGTTTTCCGTTTTTAGGCATTCCATTTTAATCCTCACGGGTGATAACGCATCTGCATATTAATTCGACATCGAGGATAGATGTAGATGTCTATGAGCCACAGCAACCACTTACCATCAGGTGAACTGTGTGATCGTTTCTCACCCTCATCCTAAAAAAAAGGATAACAAAGAAAATTCTGGCTTGAAGGATGCAAAACCTACTAGGTAGTGTAAAAGTTTTTGACTTGTAACATCATTTGTAACAATCTTTACATAGGCCTAGGGGTTATGAAAAACTATTTTTTCAGTAATTTATTCCATAGGATTAACTAACATTATATTGTAACATTCAACTTTTTGAAATTGGTGAAACAATTGCGATTATTAAAGTAATGTGTGGACCACCAACGCCATTTTTTTCGTAATCGTTTGACAGGCTAATATTTTTTGTAAAAGAAAGGAACACAAACAAATAACGATATGTATAGTGTGGCCCACATTTATCTTCGATTAAAAATCAAAATGCAAATATGTTCCTCGCTACTGAGTGCTAAAATAAAATGCTTCATAACCAGTTAATCTGTCATCACTCGCCACACAGAACACATTATACTGCTATTTTACGTTGGTATTTTGTGAGAGCTAGATCCTTCTCCTTTCGAGCCGACTCATCTGTGCAACACCATAATATAGCTGCAGCGTTCAGCAACAGCAACCACACTAATAATGGCCTGATTTAACTACCATTTACTGTTGTCAACGAGATATTATCTAATATTATAATTTTAGTTTTATGGCAATTGCTACAATTTGATATCGGTTACACCATGAAAATGTTAAGCTAAACCTAGAAATGGAAAATGATTTCAAAAGAATGTAAAAACACGCACGCACGTAATTACACACGCAACAAATGCGCGCAGGAACAAATAGTTGAATAATCATCTATTTTGAATAACATAATCATAAAGTAGGAAATAAAACAGGAGATGGGCAGCCACGTTTTCTTGATAACAACTCAAAATAATTTAAAAAAACTGAAGTTGCCAACCCATGGCAGTGGACTTTTGATAGTTTTGTATTTGCAATTTTCTATAATCTTTATTTAAAATAAACAAACCTGGTCTTGGCTGTGAAGGCCTAGATTGCAGGGGTTGAAGTCCAGAAGGTGTGTCGGACAGCACGTGGAAGTGCGAAGTAGGCGGCGGTCCCATTGCTGTCGGTCGAGACTCCGCCTCTAACTGTAAAAGAAAACTTTTAGTTTTTTTCTTTGATTTTGAAAATTTTACCAACCCACTAGGATATCTTCTGTATTAATTAGGTAGTTCATAGACCCGGAGTCATTATTTGTAGGCCCTACAAATATAGCTAGATCAGACAACTTAATAAAAGAGAATTAACATTTTTCTCTATCTATATTTTTTTCTCTTTCCAATGTTTTCCACATATTAAAAACGATGGGGTCAATGAGGTCTCCTCGTCCGCATCTCTCATCAGGTCATAACCTAACACTTCGAGCCATTACAGTATCGAATATCGATACGTTAGAATGCGAATGACGTCCAAATTATGTATATGAAAATAAAATAACGACTTTTGGGCGGAAAACTTTGACATGTTAGTGTTTTTATAAAATCATGTTAAAGTTATACTGAATAATTTTGGTGGTGTTTAGTACAATACTGTTTTATTATAATCACGGAGTAAATACAAAGAGGAGGCCTAAGCAATTGTGCACTGTGATTCTAACTAGGTCCTGACGTCATCACAGTGGGCGTGGCTTTATTTAGTATACTGTCAGCGTTCGTCCTGTGCGCTTGTGTCGAAAATCGCAAATCGGTGTATTTCCGTAGCATTAAGAAGAAAAGGATGAGGTGTTGTGTTTTATCGTGTAAAAACTACTCAGATAGACGCTCTGATGCTATGGATGGCATCACATTTCATTTGTAAGTAATTTTATACCTGCTCTGTCTGCTTTCAAATATAATTAAATATATTCGACACTAGATGGCGACACTGTGTCATGGGAACTAAAAAAATATAAAGGTACGTAGAACTTAGTATTAGTAAAAATGATTATTTGAAGGTGCTGAAATTTGTTTTGCATTCAGTCCTAAAGAATTTTTAAGCACCAAAATATTATTTTTATAGTTTTTATAATCATTTTGTGAACAGGCCGCCATCTATCGTCAAGGTAGCTAAACTACATTGAACATCGATATGGAACGACGCAAGTAGTTTTACTATTTATCGGAAGATGGAAAATAGTTAAGTGGGCGCGGCTTAACGCCACCTCACCCGCAAATTGTCACGCGTTGTTATATAGTGAAATCTAATTATAACACCTCTTCATATTTGCCCCGTGACTAGTAATAAAAATAAGACTATAGTTAAAAGATATCAAAGTGCTTCATGTTTATAAGGAACACATTTAAAGTCACTTAATTATTTATTAATACTAAAGCTAGACCTCGAAAAAGGTTACAAATTATCCTTGATCGGAGTTATAATTAAAATATATATATATTAATTGGTTCAAGCAAATATACTAATCGTAAGTCTCAAACTAAAGAAGAATTAAAAAGTACCTGGTAGTTGATGAGTCCCCACTGCTCAAGGAAGCCATGGACACGCATAATGGCGCACACGTCGCCCGCTAGGTTGCGACGGCACGCCGTACTAGTTAAGTACTCCGTAGGATTCAGCCGGTACGTGTCGATCATGAAGTTCCTGTCATAGACAAATATACATTACTACCATATAAGAATATGAGATGCGCCTTAAAATGTTTTTTCTGTCTATATGGGCCGATTGACACTTCGACAAGTACAGTAGCGAGTTCAGTTACAGGACAGTTGACAGTAACGACGGGCGTTCAAATGTCTTCGTGGCGAGTTTAGTTAAAAAAAGTACAATTTCATATTTTGAGGGCCGAACGCTAACATGTTGCGTCCTGTCAACTTATGCATTGACCTAAACTCGCTGTATGAGCTGAACGAGTTTAGTTCCGGGTGGCGCGAGCCGCGCGGTAGGTCAACACTTCGAACTTGACTCGCCGGAAAATAGATCGGCGGGCTATCCCGTTCAACTTGTTATAGTCTGCGTGGATGTACTAGTCACCGCCTTAGGTATGCAGGCGGCGAGACGGGGGGAGGGCGCGATTGACAAGACGCACACGAGATATTTAAGGACAGATAAATCTCCGGATAATCATGTTAGAAACTGTTTTAATTAATGTAATGGGTAAATTACTAATATTTTTGTATTTCCGGGCTAAACAAAAATAAACACATGTTTAAAAGCGTTAATTACGTTTTATTATTTATGATACAAAACAGTTTTATAAACTCACCACCTAAATTAAACCTAATTTACCTCACTGCGGAACCTCTATGTCGGAGGTTCGTATCACAAATAAGGAGGTTATTAAAACTTTGCGGTGACTAGATATGAATACGAGAGACACACTGAAATAATCGGGAATAAGAAAAACCACATGCACGGTATAGCTAAATTTAACAGTTATATTATAGTTCAACTTAATGCACTTTTCCATTCGTGCAAACCAATCATTAAAACATTAATTCCAGTCTGAAGTTGATGTTGACAAAATGGCTGATTTATACGCTTCCACAGTTGCCTCGGGTCTTCAAACCGTTGACCGCGTAATAAATCTTTCATTCTAGGGAATGGAAAGAAATCGTTTGGGCTCAGGTCAGGACTGTAAGGAGGATGGCTCATCAACTCAACGTTTTCCTGCTTCAAAAAATAATTTGTCTTCCGAGCCATATGGGAGCTCGCATTATCGTGATGTAAGATAATGCGACGTTTCGCGTTATTTTTTCGGACTTCGGCTATCATTTCTGGCAAACAAACCGTGATACACCACTCAAGCGGTAACCGTTCTGCGTTCCTGTAAAGGAATTGTAGCAACATGCCCCTTTTTCGAGACAAACGTAGCGACCATTTACTTTGACACGCTACAACGCGCTGTGGGAGCGAACCACTTCCGTTTTTTTGACCTCGTCTTCGAAGACCCAAACTGCTGACTGATGTTTTCTTTCAGGTTCGTATGAATAAATCTATGATTCGAAAGAGTTCGGCTTTATTATTATCTGGTGTAAATTCAAAATTACGTTCGCGTAATCAATCTTGCATGCCTCTTTTCAAACTTGATATAGTAGATTTTTTCCCTACCTGTACACAATGGTAGGAAGCATTGTCTTTGCTTTAGATTTTAATCCTTAGGAAGTCTTTTGAATTTCACTATTGTAAGCCGTCCTGTTCGAGGTGTGCAGATATTGTTAAGGCACCGTTAACTAATCCGTCTCGGGTACCACTATGAACAATCACCAAACGACGTCCTTTGCTAATATCAGCATAAATTCCAGGCTCAGATTCGAATTGCCAACACATACATGAGGTGTGGCTACTGTTAACGTAGGTTTCGTCCAGAAAATATATGTTTCTGTTTTCACTTCTATGTTTCCGTATAGCTCTTAAATACCTTACTCGCCATTCAGCAATACTGGTCCTCTCAATTAAAATGTGTATCTTAGATTTACATTTTTTAAATAAATATCTCTTCTTATGTAAAAGCTGTCGTAAATAGGTACAACCGCGGTTCACAATTCCATCTTCTTTTAAAACTACTTGGGATTTTCTTGTGTCTAGTATAAAATTGATGAATTTTTCTTCATATAACGCCCATGTCAAAATGATCAATGTGGTTTCTCTTTTTTATTTCTTTAAGTTTCCGTGGAGATGAAAATTTTGCTATTTCCGATTTTGTAGACACGAATTTCTTTTAGCTACAAATTACATTACGGTGCGGGCAGGGCACTCCTGTAGCTTTTGCTACTAATTTATTAATGTTCATATCATATTTGTGTTCCATACTTTCCTTGTCGCCCTTTCGTCTGAGAAAAAAAACTGTGTACATTGTAAATAATATTTTTCACTTGTCGTAGTGTTGGCGGACCCATCTTAGGATATTTATCCCATGTATTTTTGGAAAAAAACTGTCACGTACAACTGAATCGTGTCACCGTCGCGGCGTTCGCCGGCAGACTGAGTCAGCTTGATGTTTGTCTAGCTTTCTCGTCCTGCCGCTCACATACCTCAGGAGGTGACTAGCACTTGCGCGCACACTATAATTTGCTACTCACTAATTTCCGTTCAAACGAGTTTTTTTTACTTAAGTCGCCAGGTCGCGAATTGACTCGCTACTGTACTTGTCGAAGTGTAAATAGCCCTTATGACCAACTTGATTTTACTACTACAGTCCATCATAAGTCCACTGCTGAATATAGGGCTCAACCGTAAATTGCCACAAAGTACGGTCCTGAGCCACCTGCATACATTGTCTGTTTGCGTGTTTCATCAGGTTTCCTCATTCAGTGAGGTGTCGCCCAACACAACGCTTGCAATTTTGAGACCGATACTCGAAAATCTTTCTTCCCCATCGCTTGTCGGTTCTTCCAGCTATATGGCCGGCCCATTGTCACTTCTGCTTACTGATCTTATGCCTAGGCTATGAAAGTAACTTCTTTTTTTTTTTGCGGATATCCTCGTTACGGCCTTTATCCCACAGAGAAATTACGAGCATTTCCATCGTAAGCCGAGTGACTTTAAGCTTCCTCATACCACCGGCAGTGAAGGAACACGTTTCAGTTCCACAAGTCATAACATAAAAGCTTAAAAAGATTAAAATTAATATTAAAATTTAGTAGATCTGACATAAAAGCCACAAAATTTAAAAAAAAAAATTAAAAATAATTGTGTACATATTATGATGTGCTGTTGTTTATTACAGTGAATGCTGCATGCACACAGTACAGAAATTGTACTTGTTTATCTATTTGTGTTCTTGTATTCTATTTTACAAACCTGTATGCAAGATATATTTCAGGCGTTTTCGATTTGTTTTTTCCATTGAAAAATTCTGGTAATGCACGCTTCTCTATCGTGTGGATTGAGTTATAATCGAACCAGGCTGAGTAAGAAGGAACAACGATGTGATGCGTTTGATCTGTCACATTGTCCTCCAACTCTTCTTTCGTAAGCATTTCCTGCAGACATAAAATTAGATTACATTTTGCTAAAGTTATAGACATTTATATATAGTACAATGGATGCAGAATCCCATCCAAACATAAACAACATTTTCAAGTCATTGATTATGCTTTATTTTTTTATAGGATCGGGTGACAAACGAGCACACAGTCCACTTGATGGTAAGTGGTTACTGTGACCCATAGACATCTACATCTATCCTCATTTGAGAATCAAAATGCAGATGCGTCGTCACTTGTGAGGACTAAGATGGAATGCTTCTTATCCAGTAAAAAGGGTCTCCGGTTCTTTACACTCACCATACGAAACACAGCAGTGTTAAGCTGTTATTTTACGCTGGTATTCTATGAGAGCGTGGTCCTTCCCCTGTCGAGCCGACCCATTCGTGCTACAACTATACTGCTAATATAGCTGTAGCATGGCGCTACCACGTATAAAAATTTGTTCCAACATTCCGCCGTGTAGTGTCGGCGTAAGAGAATCCACTACCCTATATCATCCCGTGAGTGTTGTAAGAGGCACATTTATAAAATAAATATAAAATAATAAATATAAATATATAAAATCAAAATATAAAATAATATACATAAAACAATAAAATAATAAAAAAATGTGGTTGCCAATCTCCCTGCCAAGCGTAACAACTACATTGCAAACATTCCCCCTATGTTTAGCAGTGAACTTTGTTGGGCTGTAATGGATGAAATAGCTTTATTATTTATTAAAATAATCACGTGAAAACATCTGAAGTCTTAGTTCTTCGTTAGTCCTTAGTTATCCCTTACATGATCAGCAGTGTAACCACAACATCTTTGTTGCAGAGGTTATAACTATAAACATGACCTGTTATGTCGCATGTTGCACACTTTTGATATATTTTAAATTGATTAACCATCACATTATGCCCCATAGCGCGGCTCCAGTTAAGGAAGCTGTACAAATCTTTGAAATATAATAATTTTTGGCGGGTAGCATGTGATAAATGATCATTGAAAAGTGTAGTAATGAATAGCAATGTAAGGGCGATGTGTGTGTGTGAGACCTGCGTGTTGGAGTCGCTGTGCTTGCCCTGCGAGTCGTCGTGCACGTCCATGGCGGGCGCGGGCGTGGCGGGCGCCTCCGCCACCGGCGCCGGCTCGGCCGCTACTGGCGCCGCGGCCGGTGCTGCGAGCCATTACATACGTACCACTTTTTTGATCATTTCATTCACTTTAATGATGATTTCTTATATTTACAGAATTAATTGCCAATGGCAAGTATTTCTAGTATATTAAAATATACTAGAAATGCTTGACATTCAATAAAACTAATTTTACGGATTTTATCGCGTCTCTATTTCTACAAGTATAAAACAAAGTCGCTTCCCGCCGTCTGTACGCTTAGATCTTTTAAACTACGCAACGGATTTTGATCTGGTTTTGTTTTCATCAATAGACAGAATGATTCAAGAAGGTTTATTATGGTGACTTTGATTTAACACACATATAAGTTTTCACATTTTCCTTCATTTGAATCATAAACCTTATGTTTTCCAAATTAAGGTTCTTGATTGTTTGATATTTACAAATGTTATTATTAGGTGAAAATTTAATTTAAAAAAAACCAAGGTTTTCCGGGGTGATTTAGCTGTACCTACTTATATAAATGATTTTTTTATATAACAAAAAATAGTACAAAAGGTTTGTAAACTCTGCATAAAAAAATCACTTACTCTCAACTTCAAAGAAAACACGTACCCACTAAAAACAAGTATCCTTCCGTTTGTAACTGATGTTTGATGTCAACTAAACTTAATTAGGTCTAAACAAGTGAAAAAAGCATAAAAATGATAATTATTTTTAGACATGGCTGATGGCACAAAAGGCGTGTCATCAACGTCTGTGGCGCTTGACACGCCAGGCTTGTCATGAAATATTTGTTCGCCGCCACAGCTAAAAGTTGTCGAAAATCGGTGCCGCAACGAATCGGTTAAGCTTTATAACGAAATTTTAACACTTGAGAGACTGCAATTGAATACTTTCGGCAGACGACGCCTATTATTGCCAGTAATTGAAATAAGTTCAGTGAATAACAGCTATATGACAATTTTCCTGCTAGGGCTATACAATTTAATATGACTTTTAAAATTTTAGGAAAGGCTTGGTATTGAACTCCAAATTCCCAGAGTTTATTATCAACCATATAATATTTATAATAATTATTTTATACAACCTTTTTTAAAAGCTAAAAAGTTGGTGATATTTCCTATATAATTTCTGGCACGTACTGATATTTTTTTGTAATATTCGTATAATGTAATCTTTAAAAATGAAGAGAAATAAGGTTCTTAAAAGAACTGTATCCGCGACTAGTCGTCGCCGATAACAAGAGGGCTGGTTCGCTCGCACGCACAAGTGGACGGTCTGCTCATTTTGTCACCTTTATATGATGTATTATAAAAAACTTACTGTCCGTAGGTCGTTCAATTTCGGGAGTAGGTGCAGTATCAGTGTTGTCTCTGGAAGCATTGTCCTCTTCATCTTCGCCATCGTTATCACGACGCTTTGATGAGCGACTGAAAATATAGTTTCTTTTTTAGTAGCAAACCAATATATTATTTACCTATTCTATTTCAAAAAAAAAAAACTGTGTCTCGTGATGACACACGATAGAAGTGAAACTTTTGTTTTACATGGAAATATTTCATGTGCTCTGACATTTCCAAGGCAAAGTCAGAGCACATAGGCAGAATTGGCGAGAAACTAGTTCGCCTTCCTTCGGGAACCCGTGCATTCTGGTCTCTCGCCAAGGCTGTCCAAGGGAATTTCTGTAAGCCATCACTACCATCTCTGCACAGGGAGGACGACTCACTGGCCCACGACGCAAAAGAGAAAGCCGACCTTTTAGGCTCCCTTTTTGCGTCCAACTCGACTCTTGATGACGGGGAGAACACACCACCGACCATCCCGCGGTATGAGTGCTCCATGCCGGATGTGCGGTTCTCGCAGCGATTGGTCCGCAAAGCACTCCTCTCCCTGGACATCCACAAGTCGAGTGGGCCTGACGGAATCCCCACAATTGGTGCTGAGGACGTGCTCCGAAGTTGGCACCGGTTCTAACGCGTCTTTTCCGGTACTCCTACTCCCTAGACGTAGTCCCGAAATCATGGAAGACAGCTTTTGTCCACCCGATCCCTAAAAAAGACGACCGCTCAGACCCGTCCAATTACAGGCCTATCACCATCATCTCCTTGTTCTCGAAAATAATGGAGTCCATTATTAACTGCCAGCTCATGCGGTACCTTGAGGAACACCAGCTGATTAGTGACTGCCAGTACGGTTTCCGTCGGGGTCGATCAGCTGGTGATCTTCTTGTTTACCTAACACATCGATGGGGCAGGCGATCGAATCCAAGGGGGAGGCATTGGCCGTTAGTTTGGACATAGCGAAGGCCTTCAATCGGGTCTGGCACAAAGCGCTTCTTTCGAAGCTCCCTTTCTATGGGCTTCCCGAGAAATTGTGCAATTGGATCACCAGCTTTCTTGCAGATCGGAGCATCAAGGTCGTTGTAGACGGTTCATGCTCCGTCTACAAGCCTATTAACGCTGGTGTTCCACAAGGCTGCGTGCTGTTACTTCTGCATATCAATGATATGTTGCAAATCGGTAGCATTCATTGCTATGCGGATGACAGCACTGGTGATGCTCTATACACCGGCCGTGCCAATATTTCTCGGGAAAACGTCGGCGAGTACCGGAACAAACTTGTGTCTGAAGTCGAGTCTTTGCTGAACAAAGTCCCGGATTGGGGGCGACTAAATCTAGTCCAGTTTATCCCCAGAAGACACAAGTTTGCGCGTTTACCGCTAAAAGGAATCCTTTTGTCGTATCTCCTCAGTTTCAAGGCTTCCATTGTTGCCTCAGCCAGTATCGGAATCCTCGGCGTCGACATATCGAGTGACGTGCAGTTCCGTGGTCACTTGGATGAGAAGGCCAAATTGGCCTCTAAAAAGCTTAGCGTGCTCAGCAGAGCGGGGCAGTATTTCATGCCGGCACAACGCCTGCAACTTTACAAGGCGCAGGTTCGGCCTCACATGGAATACTGTTCCCATCCCACTGGCAGGGGCTCCCCAGTGCCAGCTCCTTCCACTTGATCGCATTCAGCGCAGAGCAGCTCGAATCGGCGACAACTGAGTCCTTTCCGATCGGCTCGATTCATTGGCGCTGCGAAGAGATGTTGCATCTCTTTGCATTTTCTTTCACATTTTCCCCACGGGGAGTGGTCTGAGGAATTGTTCGGATTAATCCCAGCCGCCAAATTTCACGAACGCACATCGCGGCAGAACTCCCGATACCATCCACACCATCTGGATGATTGGCGGTCCACCATTGTGCGATTTAGAAGATGTTTTCTTCCCCGCACAACTTCCTTGTGAAATAGTTTACCACCAGCGGTTTTTCCGGACCGATACGACTTAGAGACCTTCAAGAAAAGAGCCTATTCCTTTTTAAAAGGCCGGCAACGCATCTGCAATTCCCCTGGTGTTGCGGTTGTTCATGGGCAGCGGTAGTCACTTACCATCAGGTGAGCCGCATGCTCGTTTGCCCCCTCTCCTATAAAAAAAATTTCAATTATTAATCGAGGACTTTTGGATCGCATAGATTGTGTATATCATTCATTTATTTACATAAAATTATATACATATTACGTGTCACAATGCATCACAATGCATTCTTCGATCTGAAGAAGAGAAATTATCGGTTTAGTTTGTTAATTAGGTAATTATCTATGTGTTTCTTTTGTTTTCTGCGCGGACGAAGTCGCGGGTAAAATCTTGTCTAACTGAAATTTATTTATCAGTGTTTAAAATACAGTTTGTTTATTATAATTAAAAATTAAAATTAACAACGTTATACGCTTACAATAAAAATAACAAATATGTAAATTTTTAAAGATGTTAAAATTAAATCTTGTTAGACATTAAAAATGAATTACTTAACTAAGATTCATGTAAAAAATGTTTTAACATGTTTAATATTATGTTAAAACATGTGTAAATATTAGAAATTGAATATATAATTTTTTATAAAATTTAAATAACACTTTTTGAGTTTGTTTAATGTAAAAAAAGAACAATTAACATTCAAGTATTACGTAGCATAATTAACTATACAAATCATATTAGAAATAGCTTATTAATTAGATATATTCTGATTTAAAGGTTGGAGGAACCGATTATTCAACTTTATTTAGAAGCATAAATTATGTTTTTCTACATAATACTATAAACAAGAATAGAATAGAATAGAATCATTTTATTCAATATAGATTATAGTACATAATACTTATTGAAAGTCATTTTTACTTTTACCACTGGTTCGCAAAAAGAACCTCTGTCCTGGGAAGAACCAGCAAGAAACCCAGCAGGACATTTTTTAAAAAGCACAATCTACAATATAATTATGAAACCATTTAGAAACAGCATGGTAGTGATCACCTTATTCCCTCGGGTTATTATCAGTCATGTACTCTTTTCTGTCTCGTCAGACATACCTCAAAACCTTAAAACAAAATTGTACAACCAGTGCGTGTTGCCAGTGATGACTTACGGATCTGAGACGTGGTCCTTCACTGCTGGCCATATGAGGAAGCTCAAGGTCGCTCAGCGAGCTATGGAGATGGCTATGCTCGGGGTTTCTCTGCGTGATAAACTTAGAAATGAGGATATCCGCAGTAGCACCAAAGTAACCGACATTGCCCAATGGATTAGTAAGCTGAAGTGGCAGTGGGCCGGCCATATAGCTCGAAGAACCGACAACCGATGGGGAAGAAAGGTTCTTGAGTGGCAACCTCGTGCCGGTAGGCGAAGTGTAGGGCGACCCCCCACCAGATGGAGTGACGAGCTGGTAAGACATGGAGGAAGTCGATGGATGCAGGTGGCTCAGGACCGTGCTTTGTGGAATTCCTTGGGGGAGGCCTATGTTCAGCAGTGGACTTATGAAAGGCTGTGATGATGATGATGATGATGTACTCTTTAGTAGTATAACTACCCTTACTAGACAATTTTTGCTTAATAAATAATTTAAACCTCTCGATAGAAAAGGTCTGCATATTTTCTGGGACTTTGTTGTAAAAGCGCAAACATTGCCCCATGAAGGTATTACTGACCCTTTGGAGTCGAGTAACTGGTATAACTAACTTGTGCTTGTTCCTAGTATTTACAGAATGTACATCACTATTTTTAATAAAACTATTTTTGTTTTTGTGTTTATACAATAAGTTCTCGTAAATATTCTGGGAAGCCAAAGTTAATATATTTATTTCTTTAAAATTTTCTCTAAGGGATTCCTTCGGACCTAGGTTATAAATTGCTCTTTTGGCTCTCTTTCGCAAAACAAAGATAGTTTCAATATCAGTCGCATTACCCCATAGCAAGATTCCATATGACATTATGCTATGGAAATAACTAAAATAAACTAATCTAGCTGTTTCAACAAAGGTAAGGCATCTAATATTTTTAGAGCATATGCTGGGGAACAAAGTTTGCTAGCTAGTTAGATATATGAGACCCCATTGAAGCTTCTCGTCAACTGTAATACCGAGAAAAACAGTGGATTCAACAAGACCCAGCTCCTTCCCACTTAAAAGCACACTGGTATTCACCTTTTTAACATTAGGTGTAGTGAATTTAATACATTTCATTTTATTACCGTTCGAAAGCAAATTATTGACATTAAACCAGTGTACTACTTTTGATATAGCATTATTCACTTTGTCATATTTGAATAATTGCAACGAAATATCATCAGCAAATAATACTATATCATGGTTATTCCGTATCAAGAAAGCTAAGTCATTAATATAAACTAAGAACAGAAAGGGACCAATAATTGAACCCTGAGAAACACCCATAGATACTACCGATCCGGAAGAACTGCATGCATTAATAACAACTGTTTGCGTTCTATTATTTAGATATGACATAATAAGTTTAAGAGCTTTGTTTTTTACACCATAATGATGTAGCTTCCTGATTAATGTCTCATGGTGAACACAGTCGAAAGCCTTAGAAAGATCAGACAAACCTCTTTCTTTTTCCGTGTTTCTGCGGCGGAGGAGAGGGTGAACGCTTTCTTTTACTTTTCTTCGCCTTGCTCGATGGTTCTGTACCCGGTATTAGATCGTCAACCGAAAGACGTAGTTTATGAACCTGAAGAAATTTTATTGTATAATTGAGAATTAAATTCGAAACAGACGTAACATAGAAATATATGTTTATTTATACTTCAAGACATGAGATATTTAAGCCACTGAACCACGACTATGTTTCGGTTTCAAAGATAAGAGAGCAAGTGTAATTAATTACAGGCTCTGAGTAGCCTACTTTCTTGCAGTTTGCTTTCGAACGGGTTCTGGCGAGAGGAGTATAGGAACCATGCGCCACTATCCTCCGAGTCGGAGCTGTAGACCAGATTCGCTGGGGTCGGTATTTTTTAGCCTCATGGAGTTAGAGATGCATTATGGAAGTGAAGACGGAGATCGCGCGGAAAGTCGGTTCTATGCGACTAGAGCTGGTGGAGCGTGCGTGTACCCATGACATTGCCTATATACGATGAAGATAGAATAACATGGTATGTTTTAATCGGTAGGCGTCTGACATAACCCGTACTTTCCTTGGAAAGGCAGGCATGCGTAAACATTTCCCCTTAAAAAAATAGGCTGTAATATCCACTCAGTATTACATGGACCATTAGTTTGTTTGTTATTGAAATCTAAACATATAAATAAAATTGAAGTGTCTGTCAGTGACATCAATATAAGTGGCATCTATTAAGCTCACGGAGTTACTTGCATGCTAATATGATATGAATATTTTTTTTTAAATTTGTAGGTCTGTCTATCTGTCGAAGCTAATCTTAGGAATAGTTGAACATATTATGATGAAACTTTACGAACAGATAGAATAAGTAATGCCGATCTAGGCTAGGCGTGATCTAGGCTATATTTTATCAGGAAAGTCTGAAAGTTTTTTTTGTGAAATCATAAAAATGGATAAATAAATGATTTTAATGACTATCTAATAAATTATAAGAGATATTAGGAGTTTCGAATAAAACTTTGTTTTTTGCAATCTTACACGAAAAATGTCTATTCCATCAAAAACATAACTTGTAAAAAAAACCAAGTCTCGCAACTCAGTTCTTCAAAAACGCAATGTATCTCTCAAGTAATACATATTATATTAAATTAGATTGTTTAATGCGATTGCCAAGTCAATTTATTTGACAACCGACTTGGTATTACATGGATCTCACAACTTTTTATGGTAGAAGAACTGAGTTGCGAGACTTGGTTTTTTTTACAAGTTATGTTTTTGATGGAATTTCATTTCTTTTTATAGATAGTTATATCTAGGTACCTATCTACACCTATTATTACATATTATACATATATAGTTACACTGATTCATTCACTGCAAATGTAACTTTGTAATCCTATATATTTATATGGGATTACAAAGTTATTTATGCAGATGGTGTATCTCGAAAACTGGACTGAAATTGCAAAATACTTTAATTTTTTCTCCATTTATATACTAAACAAATGTAGGCCAAATTTGAAGCTTCTATATCTGCTAGAAGTGCCTTAGAGTTTTGATGATTGTCAGTCAGTGAGTGACAAAATTAAGAAACTTTGACTAGTTATAATTCTTAAACTAATGGTTCAAATTTAATGAAATTTGAAATATACTGAGTTTATACAATTCCTACTTGGTTACTGAAAATTCAGGCTTCTAGTTTTATTCAAAACGAAGTTATAGGGTTTCGAAAATGGCCTGAACTGCTTCGAGAAAAGCATGGTACGGCCGTGCCGCTTAATGGCTCGACTTGGCGGGGGCACTACCGTGCCCCCAGATCTATGCATCATTTTAAGTGTTAACGGTGAAACGGACATTTTTACTTAAAACTAAATTATCTGTAATTTTTATTTTATGCAATTTCCAATACCTGATATTGTTTTGAGATAATAGCAAAATAACTTCTCTTTTCATTATATAAAAAGATACACTAGAACATTTAAATATCACATTGAGAAACTATCATCCCTTTCTTTTCCTCTTCTCGCGGATCCCTTCCCCCTGCCTTAAACACCATACACTATCAGTTCACCTTCTTCTTGCCGGCGGCGTCGACCTCGTAGTCCTCCTCATTCATCCACTCGTTGTACTGCGGCAGGTCGAGCACCCACGTGGCCGTCACGCGCCACGGTTCCGCACGGCTACACTCCCAGTTCGCTGACTCGGGCACTTCCACCTGCAATGATATGCATCATTAATTGAATAGAATAGATTATTTTCTATTCAAAGTTGATGGTTTTATTGGGGAGTGAAAGGATGTAACAACTTTGTGTCCAAATGTCAACTTCAACTCTCACGTAGCATGCAATAGCTGTAAATTTGTGCCGGGAGAGTGGTTCAAGGCCGTTATAGTCCCAATTTATAAATGAAAACAGGACCAGGGTCACAGCAGGACTGTAAAAACTACTGTGGAATTGGTCTGCTTAGCGTTGTGGGATAACTATGGGATAACTGTGTGCTAAGGTGTTAATTGAAAAAGTTGTGAAGGAAAGTGATGGAAAAATCTAAATGTCAAAGCTATTCCAGTGCTGCTCTTGATGTACGGAAACATAGTACGGAACTGTACGCACTTCTACTTTTGTTAATTGTACACACTCGTACGATAAAATTTCTTTATTTCTTATTACACCTACTTCTTATATTCCTGCACTACTCTAAGGTAGGCTGGTAGATAATGCCTCGGGGATTAACGCCTATATACATTAAAATGTATATGACGTTAAATAAATAAATAAATTCTAGGCAGGCTAGTACCTAGGCACTCTGCTTTCCTGATTATAACATATCGTTCATAAAGCAGCGTGTCTATTTCACAAATAATATCCGCATATCTTTATTTTAAAAAATATACAAAAATATTAAGTTATAATATTGATCTAATTTTTCTCTTTTTTTGGCAACAAATATCGTTAAAACATGACACTTACAAACTTATTATTTTGTAGAGGGAGTGCTTACTGCTGTTAATTTCTAGTGATAAAGTTATATCAATTGAAGACTCCACTAGATTAAAACTAGCTTAGCTGTCGTCATCATCATCGTTGTTACATTAATAAATTATTACTTGATTTTCTATAATGCATTCAAAATGAATGTCTCTCATAGTCGTCAATAACAATTATCTTTGTTTTCTCCATTACTTTGGTTCAATCATCCGTTGTATAGTAGTCGTATTTTCTACAAATCCTCCTCGGATCCCACATAGCAAGTATGAGATCCCTTATCCTACGGGCACGTGTCATCTGTCTTTGTCTGCGGCACAGTGCGGTTGATGTTTAGTCATGTTTTATAAATAGAATAGAATCATTTTTATTCAATATAGATTACAAGAATACTTCTTGAAAGTCATTCAAGCTTTACCATTGGTTCGGAAAAAAACTCGGTTCTGGGTAGAACCAGCAAATAACCCAGCAGGACTTCTTTTTTTAAAGAATAATTTACAATAATACAATATTTTATACAATTAGTATGAAAACATTTAGAAACAGCATGGTGGCGTTCACCTCATTCCCAGGGGTTATTATCATTCATGTACTCTTTAGTAGTAGCTTTACTAAACAATTTTGCTTAATAACAATTTCACACCTTTTGACAGATTAAGGTCTGCATATTTTCTGGGCCTTTGTTGTAGAAGCATATACAATTGCCCCATGAAGGAATTACTGACTCTTTAGAGTCGAGTAACTGGTATATCTAACTTGTGCTTGATCCTATTATTTACAAATATGAAATATGCGATGGACAACACCTATTGTACAACACTATTAAGTCTGTTTGTTTGCTTTTTAAGAGTGGTAGGGTTCAACCTCATATCCCCCTAGTGTATTTGTGTAATTAGCAATTGGAATGGGTAACGACGTTTAAATACTTGGGTCATATTGTTACTCAGGATCTGTGTGATGGTTCCGATATGGACCGCGAGCGACGTTCCTTGTCAATGCGTGCCAACATGATAGCTCGACGCTTTCAAAGGTGTTCTTATACCTCAAAACTGGCGTTGTTTTCAGCTTACTGTCAGCCTCTATACACTCCTCAGCTGTGGACGAATTACACTAAAGAGGAATATCGCAATAGCTGAAGGTGCAGTATAATGATTCGTTTCGCGTGTTGTTTCGTCAGCCACGATACTGTAGCGCGTCCCAGATGTTCGCTGAGGCCTGTGTCGCTGGTTTGAATGCGCTGATCCGTCACCGTATCGCGCGTTTTAGAAGTTATGTTTTTGGGTCGCAGAATAATCTCATCAAAATTATTTGTAATATTTGTGCATTTAGTGAAATTTTTAGTAGGTGGTCAAATTTATTAATATCTAAATAATATAATTTAATAATATCATTAATTAACCAATAATTAGAATTAAATTTTTAGGTATAATGTAAAAATTTAATTTTGTAATGGAAGTGTTGTCTGTATCAAATAAATTATTATTATTATATCACTATTAAAAATATATTTTTGTTTTTGTGTACTTACATACATTAAATTTACGTAAATATATTATTGAGAGACAAAAGTTAATATATTTATTTCTTTAACATTTTCTCTAAGGGATTCCTTCGGACCTAGGTTATAAATTACTCTTATGACTCTTCTGCAAAACAAAGATAGTTTCAATATCAGTCGCATTACTCCATAGCAAGATTCCATGTGACATTATGCTATGGAAATAACTAAAATAAACTAATCTTGCCGTTTCAACACATCTAAGGCCTCTTATCTTTTTTACAGAATTGACACAGATTTTTACAGCAATCAATATAAAGTTGTCTCAATTGGTCATCATAAAATGTTATTCTTTGCATTGTGTCTATAAACAATTAATTTGCGTTTGTCACTTTTTTGTATCGGAAGCCAATTCCTTTGTAAATGGTGCTCAATGACATTACTACCATTTTACAAGCCGGCATTTTGGGATTCACATAAAATTATAAAAAAATTAGACTTGTTTAACGACAGTAACCTGATGACAGGGACTGCGAATTCGTAAGGTCGTGGGTTCGAATCCGCCTTTCTACCACTGTCGTGAATCACTTCTAACACAAGCATATCTTCCCAGGAGTGGTTAAAGAGAATATTAGTAATGTTAATAGCACTACTAATATTTTTAACAACAGAAGAAAAAAATGTTGCATAAATTACATGATTCATATAATGTATGCAATTCCAAAACTAAAAATATAGACAAACAAATAATAAATGAAAAATGTAAAGGTTCCATTATTTGAATATGTTTACCGATTATTCTGTGGCCGTAGGAAGGAAAAACGGAACGTACAGTGGTGGACCGCCAAGCATCCACATGGTGTGGATGGTATCGGGAGTTCTGCCGCGATGTGCATTCGTGAAATTTGGCGGCTGGGATTAATCTGAACAATTCCTCAGAGTACTCCCTGTGGTAAATTCGAAAAACAATGCAAAGGGATGCAACATCTCTTCGCAGTGCCAATGAATCGAGCCGATCGGAAAGGACTCGGTCGTCGACGATTCGAGTCACTCTGCGCTGGATGCGGTCAAGTGGAAGGAGCTGGCACTAAGGAGCCCCTGCCCAGAGATGGAAACAGAATTCCATGTGAGGCCAAACCTGCGACTTGTAAAGTTGCAGGCGGTGTGTCGGCATGAAATACTGTCCCTCTCTGCTGAGCACGCCAAGCTTTTTAGAGGCCAATTTGGCCTTCTCTTCCAAGTGACCACGAAACTGCACGTCACTCAATATGTCGACGCCGCGGATTCCGATACTAGCTGAGGCAACAAGGGAAGTGCCTTGAAATTGAGGAGATACGACAAAGGGGTTCCTTTTAGCGGTAAACGTGCAAACTTGTCTTCTGAGGATTAAACTGGATTAGATTTAGTCGCCCGCAATCCGAGACTTTGTTCAGCAAAGATTCGACTTCAGACACAAGTTTGTTTGTGAAATATTGGCACGGCCGGTGTATAGAGCATCACCAGTGCTGTCATCCGCATAGCAATGAATGTTACCAGTTTGTAACATATCATTGATATGCAGAAGAAACAGCGTTGGTGATAGCACACAGCCTTGTGGAACACCAGGGTAATAGGCTTGTAGTCGGAGCATGCACCGTCTACAACGACCTTGATGCTCCGATCTGCAAGGAAGTTGGTGATCCAATTGCACAATTTCTTGGGAAGCCCATAGGAAGGGAGCTTCGAAAGAAGCGCTATGTGCCAAGCCCGATCGAAGGCCTTCGCAATGTCCAAACTAACGGCCAACGCCTCCCCCTTGGACTCTACTGCCTCCGCCCATCTATGATTCAGGTAGACCAGAAGATCACCAGCTGATCGAACTCGCCGAAAACCGTATTGGCGGTATCAGCTGGTGATCCTCAAGGTACCGCAGCTGGCAGTTAATAATGGATTCCATTATTTTGGAGAACAAGGAGGTGGTGGCGATAGGCCTGCAGTTGGACGGATATAAGCGGTAGTCTGAGCGGTCGCCTTTTTTAGGGATCGGATGGACAAAAGCTGTCTTCCATGATTTAGGGACTACGCATAGGAAGTAGGAGTACCGGAAAAGACGCGAACCGTTGCCAACTCCGGAGCACACGTCCTCAGCACAATTGTGGGGATTCCGTCAGGCCTACTCGACTTGTGGATGTCCAGGAAGAGGAGTGCTTTGCGAACCGAGAGCTGTGAGAACCGCACATCCGGCATAGAGCACTTACAACGCGGGATGGTCGGCGGCGTGTTCCCTCGTCATCAAGAGTCGAGTTGGACGCAAAAAGGGAGCCTAAAAGGTCGGCTTTCTCTTTTGCGGCATGGGCCAGTGAGTCGTCTGGGTGCAGATATGGTAGTGATGGCTTACAGAAATTCCCTTGAACAGCCTTGGCGAGAGACCAGAATGCACGGGTTCCCGAAGGAAGGCGAACTAGTTTCTCGCCAATTCTGCTTATGTGCTCTGACTTTGCCTTGGCAATAACTCTTTTGAAGGACCTGGAGGCGAAGTTATACTTCTTTTTAAGCATGCTGGTGTTTACATCCGGCGTATCATCCGGCGAGAAGCAAACCCGCCCCCATGGGTAGGATGCAAAGAAAGACCGCATTCCGTCCCAATCAGCCGACCTGTAATGCCAAACACGGCGTCAACCTGCAGAACGCAACCGCGAGGGGAGCGTGAGTGGCACCACACTCAGGATCAGACAATGGTCCGAAGAGCCGAAAGGGGCATCGACGGAAACCTGATATACGTCCGGATGAGAGGTCAGCATAAGGTCCAACAGGGAAGTTGTATGATCCTCCACATCTGGAATCCGTGTAGGCGAAGTAACCTGTTGTGTCAGACCATATGCCAAGGCAATGTCTACAGACAGATCTCCCCGCATTATCGGCTAAACGTGAACCGAGCCATTCGGCGTGATGGGCGTTAAAATCGTCAAAAATCACGATCTCTGCGGATGGGACCTGTTGTAGCAAGGAATCTGTAGCCATTGGACGTGATCGATGAGTCGGTCTGTTTCGGCATAACCGCTATGGGATCTATAGAGGCACCCGTAGACGCGCGGATGGTCGTCGCCGTCTATGCGTAGCTAAAGGATGGACAGGTCCGAACCTTCAAGACTGCCAAGGTGTCGAGAACAGATGTCCTCTCTGACGTATACGCAAACTCCAGCCCGAGGCACATAGGAGTGCTCCAATTTGTACACGTGCGTCTCGGTCAGAAAGAGCAATGCCGGCTTCGCCGTCTCGAGATGGTAGCGGACGGCGTTTAGGTTCGAGTGAAGTCCCCTGATGTTGCAGAAATTCACGGAAAGCGTGGCAGGGGTCGCCTTGGTATAGTTGCTCAGTTTGCCCCGAGCAGTTAGTTTTGAGCGGAATTTTGCCCCCCCCCCCCCCCCCCCCCCCCCATCTAATTCGCGGGACAGCCTGAGCACCCACGCTCAGGAGTGGAATAACATGGTCGTGGATGCTCAGCGAAGGATTCTTACCCTCTTGGGGTAGTCTTTGATGTAATTCCGCTACTATGTTGATGAGGGGGGGGAGGGGCTTCTACTTCACGCCGGTATTCTGTGAGGTCGTGGTACCAACCCGGCTCGAGCCGGCCCATACGTGCAACAGGCAAAACTGCCGCGTGGCTCTACCACCGTTGAACATTAACATTAACATGAATTTGAATCATCCGAAATCTACGGTAAGGTACGTTTACGTACGTACATTTACAGTAAGGTACATAACAATGTATCACTGAAACAACGTCAAGCAAGAAAAGTTGATTCGAGTAATTTTTTTTATATTTTGCTTTGTTTGAAAGATTCCAATTAAAATTAGTGATAAAGAACTACACGTGTTATCATGAAATATAGATAATTTCACAATTTTTTTGGTTTACTTAAATGGTTATTTTTAATCATATTATTACGCTTGTACAAAGTTATTGCGGAATGATTAATGTAAAACAATTAAATTTACTTCTTATATTTAATGGAGTATAAGGAAATGCGGAGAATCAATTTATATCAAAATTACCGAAAAAACACGAATATAATGTATATCATGACGTTTTAAAATAAATTGTACCTACCTAATATTTAATCAACGAAATGTGATCTTTATAAAAAAATCAAAACATTTATTTTGACAAAAAATGTTAATTATATACGAGACTATCCCTTCAATTTACATTATTTCTGATCTTTATAATATACTAGACTGCCCCTTCAATTTATATTATTAAGCTTCTCACGCATATGATGATTAAATTTAATTAAAGAACTTACACTTATTTACTTACAGGCAATTCGGTCTGAGACCATGTGTCGTGGCTGTCGGGCAGATAGTACCAGTGCACCAGCACGTTATTGCCTCGCCGGAACACGGGCCTAGCGTACTCCTCCTCGAGGGGGTCTACTGTTGGGTAGATGATATGGGTCGCATCTTCTTCATCATCTGTTAATGATATATAGATCTTATTACAGTTTTCAATTCTATATCGAATAATAATTTGTGATAAATTACTCATCCAATGCTGTGGTAGCTCACGTACTAAGCGCTCGCTGTAAATTTCACAGTACGCGAGCAACCCAGGTTCGATCCCCGCCGGCAGCAATGAAATTATTAATTGCAATTTTAAGTGCTGATTTACTACGTATTCGGCGGTGAAGGAAAACATCGTGAAGAAACCTCTGAGAAATAAAAGAACAAAATTTCGCGAAAATTCGCGAACACACATTGTGACAGCGCGGCGGACTTTTCTTTACTCTAAAACCCTCTCAAAAATGAGAGGAGGCCTGTGACTTCAACTCATCCAAAGTTGGTTATAAATCTTAATTATTAATTGCGGTGGAGGATTTTCTGACACCGCTAGCAAACGGTAGGGATGATCGATATTCGAAAATCGATGTTTCCTCATTTGTTTGACGTTAAAATCACAAGCGAACTTGAAGACTTCAGGTTATAAAATTTATTTTACAAAAATTTGAAATTTCCAAACGACTTCACGTAGTATTGTAAGTTAAGTTACGTTGAAATGTCCTTCTTTGATATTACACAAATTTTTGTAAATTGCATTTTGTTTTTAATAAATAAAAATCTTGGCAATATTAAAAAAAATAACTTACCACAAATCTCCCCCTGGTGATTGCTGACGATATCTTTGACCTTGTTAGCTGTTGCCTTATCGACGTCCGGTCGTATGAAGACGCAGGGTGAACGTATTACCTCAGCGCTCATTAGAGCAGATTCTATCTCCATCATCATTTGCACGTTGAGGTCCTTTCGCGAAGGGTTCTGTAAAGGGGGGGAAACAGGTGGAGGGAACGAAAAGACTGATTTTAGTACAAATGCAATCTTTTTGAACTTCTTACCTTAGAATGTGCATCGAGAAATTTAGAGAAGAAAGAGTTGAAATAGACATAAAAGAAGTTAATCATTAAATAATGAAAAATTTAAAACAAAAATTCCACGCAGTGTATTGAAAAATTCTTATTCCACTTATTCCTACTCCAAATAGTAATTTAAACTTTAAATATACGCGAAACCCCATGAGACTAACTTTCCCGCGCTTTTTTTACTTATTTTAATATTATAAAAATATATATAGAACATATGATGAAGAATCTGTAGTTTTAGCTTGTGAAATTACTTGAATAAAACTATTTTTACAGATTTTACACACACAAACACTCACGCCTGTCACCCAGAGAGGTAGGCAGAGACTACGGACTTCCATTTGGCGCGATCCTGACACACCTCTCTCGCCTCCTTTACATCCATTTATCTACGCATACACGCTCGTCGGTTAAGGGTACTTCTAATCTGGCCCATTTTTAATGTATCGCCGATTTGGTCGATAAACCTTCGTCTAGGGCATCCCTTCCCGACCCTGCCGTTCACTTCACCAACACACTTCATCCATCTTATCATTCATTGCTCCGCATACATTCAGCGTAGACTACAACCCCACCTGGTAGAAAGTGGTAAAGTAGTTGAAGGTGGAAAATTGCACTATCTTGGCGTAGTAAAAGCCTATTCACTGTTGTCTTGAAGATACACGCGTTGAGATCGCACGAAAAGAGGCGCAGGGAAGCTATTCTACTCATTTGCTGTACGCGTTACGAATAACAAGCCAAACCGCATGCACGTATGCTCGAGACTAACAAAATTTGTTACCAAGAAGTTTTTTTATAGAATAGCGTGACAAACGAGCACACAGTCTACATGAGGACTAAGACGGAATACCTAGTTTCCAGTAAAAAGGATCTCCGGTTCTCTATACTCACCATATAAAACACAGCAGCATTAAGCTGGTATTCTTTGAGAGCGTGGTCCTACCCCGGTCGAGCCAACCCATTCGTGCTATAACCATAGCTGCAGCGTAGCTCTACCACGTAAAAAAAAAGTTTCTTAACGCGCCTCTCCTATCTGTCTTTACTTTCCTGTATTCCAAGTAACTCTTTAACAATAAGGTTGGAAGAACAAAAAATTATGTCGCAGTCCATCTCCTAATTTACTTATCCCTTTAATCCATCTTTACAAACAAATATACCAACGAATAAAGCAACGCTATCAAAATATCTATTACAACAGTGCTTATATGGAAACTATTATAAAAATATAAACTGTAAATTTACATTAGTGGAAGTCAAATGTACTAAGCAACAAAGGAAATTCTTCTCTAAAAAAAACTGTTTTAAATATATTTCGTGAAATCAGATGAAAAATACTCATTGATGCATGCAAACACTAAGGGTGAGTTTCACAAGTCCCAATACGAAATATTAGTGACAAAACAGAAACTGTTATTATAACACAAACATCACTGTCACAACATGGGTGAAAAGAATAAGAAAAGTCCAAATGTCCATTTTTAAAAACATAGAAAAACCCACAGGATCCCGAAACAAGCCATTGGCAATACAATGAACCATTGCATGAAATGGAGTACAGAATGAAACTGATTTATGAAGTATGTGTTCTAAAACAAATATCAAATAGTGTTACTGTTTAAACACTTTTATTTTTCAAGTTTCTATTTCAATTTAAATATTTTTACAAAATAGCCACAGTTCTGGCATAGATATTGAATAATAGTTAACATATTAAAATGTAGAACACAATTGGATGCCTAAGGTGCAAAATTTTGATATTTAAATAATTTGAACCTTGTGCAGTAATCAAAAATTCTTTTATCAGTTTATTTAACATAGTGACAGTAAGTTTTAAAGAAACTTATATTATTTATTTCTATAACAAAATAATATTAAAACTAAATAAACTTAACCTAAGATATTAAGGAATGTTTTGTTAATCTTTCATCATCCCTCAGATATCGTGCGAGTGGAATAACAACAACACGTGTATGACACGTAAAAATGTGAAACATCATACGAGCTTTATTTTTAAAAGGGTTAAAATAACTTTAATCTGTAGTTACTAGTTAGATTCTAATAAATTATTGGTGGTCAAACGCGTGTCGTTGATAATATAATGCAGTTAAAGAGCCGCGTGGTATGGCGGGATCGGCTGGGTCTGACTGGGTCTGGCGGGGGCTGCGGGGGCTTGCGGTGAGCGAGGCGGGCGTGCGAGGGAGTGCATACCTTACCGACCTGGAAGTCGAACTTGCGCCACCGCTGCTCCGACTTGAAGCGGAACATGGTGGCGAGCACCGTGCACAGCGAGCCGCCCGGCTTCATGTCCATGAACACTTTCATCTGAAATAGAAAATGTCACGTGATTTAGGAGATGAACTGATAAGAACAAAGTTCTATACCGCTAGCTTCGTCTACCGAAATTGAGTGCAGATAATATTTGTACATTCCATAATTCATTTCTTTTTATATAGCATTTGGGTGACAAACGAGCACACAGTCTATCTGATGGTAAGTGGATGCTGTGGCCCATAGACATCTACATCTATCCTCGATTACGAATCAAAATGCAGATGCGTCGTCACCCGTGAGGACTAAGATGGAATGCCTTGTTTCCAGTAAAAAGGGTCTCCTGTTCTCTACACTCACCAGCAGCATTAAGCTGTTATTTTACGCTGGTATTCTGTGAGAGCGTGGTCCTTCCCCAGTCGAGCCGAGCCATTCGTGCTGCAACCACAATAAAACTGCAGCATGGCTCTATCACGTAATTTTTTAAAATTTTAAATTAAAAAAAATTAATTTTTCGTTAGTATAGACTAATAAAATATTATATGATAATATTATGCAAATTCAAGAGTTTGACAAACATAATTATTCAGAACCTTATGAGGAAAACACAAGAGGGCGGCAGAGTTTAACGGGTCGTAATAAATATACTATTATGAATTCCTTATACGTAGCAAATAATGCACACATATTCCAATAGTATCCATGCCATATACAGATTGTTCAGATTGTTTTAAAGCATAATACGTAGTTAAAAATCATGATTCGTAAATTAAAAGAATTTACAACTTATGATTTAGTTGCAAATTTAAAGAGATTTAAAATACAAAATATAGGTAAACATGAAGTAATCAGCGTCAATATTTAAATTAGATTTTTATTTAATAATAAAATTAGATTTATAAGAGATTAAATAATTTTTCATCAGCATCCCGAGGATGTACTTGTAATACTGTGCTATTTCTAAACTTAGTTTTACGCTAGTCGACGGTCACGGCGTTTTGAACCTACGTAGGTGTAATGCCAGCATCGCTTGAGACACCTAGCTTTTAAAAAAATGTGATTGGTTATTAGTGTTTATGTTTTAGATTTTAAACGTCGTAGAGCCATGCTGCAGCTATAATAGTTGTAGTACGAATGGGTCAGCTCGACCGCGGAAGGACTTCATAGAATACCAGCGTAAAATACGAGTAGCAGCTTAAGAGCATTGTGAAGTGCCGATACGCGGCGTGATTAGGTTTTTTCAAAAATTCGATCTGTTTCATACCGCTCGCTCCGTATCGCCATAATATGGTGCAATAGAGAGAATTGCAAATCTTGGAAGCAGGTGCCTACATTTCCTTTTTGAAATATTGTTTCGGGCGATAACGTTTTCAACCCCCTAAGCCTTTACGAAATGAGAAAATGTTGGTCTCATTAGATTCAGTACACCTTAATCTAGGTTTGTACGTTATTATTTTTAAGTACCTAATTCAGTCCAGCTTAGTAAAACAAAAACGCTCGAGGATGTTTTTAAATCAAAGTTTAGATGCTTATATTTTATATCGTACGCAATATTTCTTTAAAATAAAAACGAACGTATTTTTATTACATCTACGTTTCCAAAAAATATTAAAATAAAATATATTTTTTGGAAACGTATATAAAGTAATTGCTTTTTGTATGAAAATTTACACTTTCACAATTATTTTAAGGCTGCTGTGTTTCGTATGGTGAGTGTAGATGACCGGAAACCCTTTTTACTGGAAACCAGGCATTCCTTCCTTCTTAGTTCTCAAGGGTGACAATGTATCTGCATTTTGATTCTAATACATGTTGTTGTGCCGACCCTACTAAAACAGGTTAAAATTTTGACAGTTCCTTAGAAGCTTTGCCTCTGTACAGTTTCTTTACTCGTGTGATTAAACGAACTGAAAGTTCAAAGGAAAATAAAAAAATTGAAGGAACAGTTTTTCCGGGAGAAGAAAAAAATTAAAGATGAAAATAAATCTGGAGCTGCGGCTTCTTATAGTCCGAGGTGGTTTGCCAACCAACGGCTTTTTTTTCTGCCGACTTCCAAAAAGGAGACGGTACTCAATTCGACGCGTATGTTTTTTTTAATGTGTGTTACCTCATAACTTTTTACTGGGTGGACCGATTTCGATGATTCTTTTTTTATATGAAAGCTGATACTTCTCGCTATGCAAAAATATTTATATTGTTTATTTCTTAACCGACAATAGAATAAAGGAGGTACTTATACCCAGTGACGTATACAGTTTAAAATTAGGAAATTGGCCTTATTGTTTCATACCAACTGCGCTTATCATGTTTATAAATTGGATATATTATATGATATGAATAAAGATGCCGCGAATACTCGCTGTTATGACAGAATAATAGTACAAGAACAGAAGAATCACTATAACATAGAACGCTTGTGAGTTTAAACCTAGTTACTAATGTTCATAATACTTTGTTTAGTACAAATTGTAAATACTGCAGCTGCCTGCATAATATCTTCGCTAGAAGACATATTATTGCCAACAAAACTTTGGTGGAGACAGCTAGTTGTCAACTGAAATGTTTGTCAAATTGTTGGCGACTTGTTTCAATTCGGTGTGAAAACAACGGAATTGGTAACTTCTGTAGAGTTGCAAACAGTTGGAAACATAACATTTGACAACATGTTGGTGGATACGCGCCTTAAGCTTGTAATACCAGTTACTAGACTCCACAGAATTAGTAATTCATTTATGGGGCATTGTTGTATTGCATACGCTATTACAACAAAATCCCAGAAAATGTACAAAATTTGTCAATAAATAAGTTTAAAACATTTAAACTTATTTATTGACATATTTAATTAAAAATTAAAAATTTTGTACAGCCGACTTCAATATAAGTAATTAAGAATAACTCAAATAACTCAAAAACTATTGGTCTGACCTTGATCAAATTCATATGGGACCACACGAGAAGTATCAGCTTTCATATAAAAAAAGAATCATCGACATCGGTCCACCCAGTAAAAAGTTATGAGGTAACACACATTAAAAAAAAAATACGCGTCGAATTGAGTACCGTCTCCTTTTTGGAAGTCGGCAGAAAAATTGTACAAAAATTGTAAGCCCCTGGGAGTGAGGTGATCGCCCCAATCCCGGTTCTATTAAATTAAAACTCTATTAAAATGTGTACAAACAAAGAAACAAAATTTTTGTAAAGTGAAATATGTTTAAAAAAAATGTCCCGCTGGGTTTCTTGCCGATTCTTCCTAGGTCAGAGGTATTTTCCGAACCAGCGGTAAATAAAAAACGACTTTCAATAAGTATTATGTAATAATCTATATTGTATAAAAATTATTCTATCCTCTTCTATAAATTGTACATAGACAAGGGAACAACAATTTGTGGAACAAAGAGTAGTTCCACACGGGATCAGAAACGGAGGACCGCAGAAAGAAGCTTTGTTACCACATGACTGTGATAGACACCATCAAGTGCCAAATAGTCAAAAACCTGACGCATTTATTACAACCGTTCGATTTTCTAGTCGACTTTTAGGCTAACCTGCTCCCACTTTAAGAGTTCATACACAATTATATTTGAGTCGCTCAGTGGAAGAGTGGCCTAATCCACAAATTTATAGAAACAGAGTTAAGTAGATATTACATATCTAGATGTATCGATCTTTGAAACCACAGTGGCCTAAAATTTAGTTTACGTTATTTGAGTAGATGGCGTTGATCAATATTCTTATTCCATTATAAATTTGTAGTTACTTTAATAAGAACAGTGGCCTATTATTTGATAGGCTCTTTATCTTCAGCACCTTATAATTTTAATACTACAGAATAGTGGCCCAAACCACTCTACAAGTTCTTTTTTTAAATATGGCCACACTAAAATTTAACGTCAATCACATTTGCTAACTTATGTCATTGTCATCCAGTGTTACCATATATACGGATTTCTCTGTATTTATACAGATTTTCGGTGTGTAATACAGATTAGCACTGGATACAGATTTTTATACAGAGTTTTCTAACTCTACTGATTAAATTACCATAATATTCAACTAAACACAGAATGAAGCAAAATATATGACTAGATATCGCGTCACACATCATTGCATGATTTTATTCTTTATGGTTTTTTTTCAAATCGAAATTAGTTACTTTGTTAGTATGGCAGCATTAAAAGTGTCACTCGCTTTGCTTAGGAAATCCCCCAAAGATTTTTGCGTGCTGTGCTATTCAAGGTACTTCGCTATCGCATTTGTCGTGTCGTATGTGCGTAGGTAATACGTAAATATTTAAAACATAGATAGAAACTTTTATTAAATATTAATATTTATTCTGTTTTTGTAAACAAAAGTGACGTAAATGTTGAATCGGAATTGGATGGAAGGTTCTTCCTATAAGGCGTGGTTGAGACCTAGTAATAAAGATGATTACTTTGCTTTTTGTACATTTTGTAACACAGATCTTTCAATTGGAAGTGCCGGGAAGAATGATATTTTCAAACACACGAAAACGAATAAACACGTAAAATCAAGTCCTGAAGGATCTAGCTCGCAAACGTTATTCTTGATGATTCAGATCTCGAAACCTACTGGTGTAAAGTCACTGCAGCCCGTGATCCTGCTAACTACAGCAATCAGCTATTATACGAGTATCCTATGCTGTCCAAATTTGATTCGGCAATGTTAAGTCTACATCATTCCAGTGTCGCCGTAGAGAGGGTCTCATCTATAAATTTAATAAAGACAAAACAACGCAATAGACTTAATACAGACACTATTGAAGGTCTTTAGCCTAGTCTTTGGCTCTTTAGTCTATAGCTTAGAGGTAGATAATAAATAACTGTTGAAATTTAACAAAAATACGTATTTTTTTTTATAGGATCGGGTGACAAACGAGCACACAGTCCACCTGATGGTAAGTGGTTACTGTGACCCATAGATATCTACACCTATCCTCAATAAAGACTCAAAATGCAGATGCGTTGTCACCCGTGAGGACTAAGATGGAATGCCTCTTTGCCAGTAAAAAGGGTCTCCGGTTCTCTACACTCACCATACGAAACACAGCAGCGTTAAGCTGCTATTTTACGCTGGTTTTCTGTGAGAGCGTGGTCCTTCCCCGTTCGAGCCGACCCATTCGTGCTACAACCATAATATAGCTGCAGCATGGCTCTACCACGTACAATATGTAATATATAATATGTAATAATAAAGTAATTATTAGTTCGTTATTAAAAGAAAATGAAGTTGACTTCTATGATAATGACCCAACTCAAGAATAACTTTCTAATTAGGTAGAATAGTGGCCTAAACAACGGACATTTTTCTTTAATAATAAGTTGTATATTAGTTTGTAAGCATAAAACTAACAATGAAATTAGTACTTTGTATATTATCATATGTTTTATTTTAACATAACTACAGAAAATACTAAAATATCAGTAATAATGTAATTCTCAGATGATTAATGCTCATTATATCCATACTATATGTACAAGGCTTGGGCCACTCTTCCACTGAGCGACTCATTTAACAGTATATAATAGCCTAGCTAGCATTATCGATAAATATATTTTCTCTTTACAAGTAAAACCAGAATGATTATCAAATAAATGTGTAGTTAAAGAACCTTGACGACGACAGGCAGAAATCCGCGGCGCACTTACGTTGATCCGTGACCGAGATCAACAAGTAACCTAGTATCAATTAAAAATGATTATATCTTTACGACAAAAGTTATAAATTTATTATTTATATACTTTTCCTACAATTTTAAGACTAGATTTATTAAGATCAAAAGTTAAAAATAAAGGCAATAGAATATTAAATAATGCTACATAGTTACTCATCTACTTTGTTTATATGTATTGAAAGAACATAAAAATATTTTCATCAAATTCTGGAAAATGTAATTCTGTTATAAATTTACTTATTATATTAAAAATTTTATATAATTTCCTCAGTTAAACAAATCAACAATGAGGCTTTAAGTGGCATGTTCTAGTGTCTATATATATTAGATCATAATGAATACAAAAATTATTAAAAATATGCCGTCTTCCCTCTGAGGTGACTGGCATGCTTATAACTTTATTGCATCTTTAAGAAACTAATAGAGTTAGAGAAATACGGGGGAAAGACGATTCTTCCAAAATTACGTACAGAGAATAGAGGTATGGAGATAATAAAATCTGATGATGAGAACATTGCCATTTGATCCCATTTATTGAGCCCATAATACAATAATGACGGGGTTTCTTTTATTTCGATTCGATAAAATTGATCAGACGGACTCTCTAATAAAATGACGTCATAAGTAATTGTAAATGCAGCAACTTCAAGTTACAATCGCTCGCTTAGCAGCACAGCTAAACCAGATAAAACGACAGTTATCAGAACGACACCATAAGTCGAAATACGCGCAGGCGTTCATGGTTCACTGCTTCACAGATTATCTTATTAAACAATGTCTGAACGCAAAGCGATGGATAACTTAACAAGAATGACTGTGTTGACTTTGTTAATAGGAATTATTTACGCATCCAAGTCAACAACACCGCTTATAAAAACCGTAAGTTGGAATTTTTCTAAAACGAATTTAATTTGTTTTATTTTATACGGGCTAGCAAAGTTATAAGCATGCCTAAATAAAAAAATGTGTACTTACATACAATATGTGTATCAGTAAAGTTTAATATGATCTCAACTATAATAATAATCTATTATTGGCAATATTAAATGAAAACGTATAAAATACTAATATTTGTAGCTATACTATTTAATTGTCTAATGCTCTCATTACAACCAAGGTAAAGTTATAAAAAATGTATATTTCTATTGTTACCTTGTTAGCTGCACTATCTACTTTGCTAATAACTGTAACCCTGTTCTTTTTTACAAATAATTTTACTTTGTCGACATTCAGTTGTTAAATCATCGTGTCCTCTGATTGCGCATACACTTGTGCTTTTTGAATTATATCTCCAATCTTGTGAATAAGCTTCTCATTATTTGTAACTTGTCGCCGAGGTCTAAAACTAACCAGCATCTTAAATTATTGACGTGTAATTTTTTTTGCAATTTTGCATACTTATATCACACGTTTGTCAGGTAGATATGACGAAATTGTGACCTCGGCCACAATAAAATACTGCGCTTAATTTATAGCACATTTCGATATATTAATATGAATTAAAAAACTATTTTTGGACCCGGATAAAATATATAATAATAAATTAAAGGTACAGAATTTTTAACAGATGTTTTAAGATGAATACTAGCATTCTTAATATTATATAATGATATCAAATTTCTTGTAGGTTGATTGATGAAAGGCTTGTTAGGTTGGCAAACGAGCAATCATCCAATAATCCATCCGATGGTAAGTGAATGGAGTGGCCCATAGTCATCTACATCTATCTTCGGTCGAAAACCAAAATGCAGAAGCGTTGTGACCCGCTTCTGTATTTAGAAGAGGACTAAAATGAAATGCCTTGGTTCTCCGCTTCTCTTCAATCGATACGAAACGCAGTAGCTGCTATTTTTCGACAGCATTACATAACATCGTGGTCTACCAGCGTAGCTCTACCACGTAAAGCTTTATACTCTGTGGAAAGCCAGTGCAGTCAGCCACTTAAAATAAATAAATAATATTTAACGTGGTAGAGCCATGCTGCAGCTATATTAGAAGTACAGTTGTAGCACGAATGAGTCGGTTCGACCGAGGAAGGAACTCGCTCTCAGAAAATACCAGCGTAAAGAGCTTAACGCTGCTGTTTCGTATGGTGTTGATGAGTGTAGAGAACCGGAGACCCTTTTTACCGGAAACGGGACATTCCATCTTAGTCCTCACGGGTGACAACGCATCCGCATTTTGATTCGTAATCGAGGATAGATATAGACATCTATGGGCCACAGCTATCACTTATCATCAGGTGGACTGTGTGCTCGTTTGCCAAGCTTATCCTATAAAAATTAGTCGCATTAGTTTCATTATTCCACTAATCGTGTATCTTGCTTTTCCATTTATACAACATTATTCATTGGACGGCTCAAAGTTGTTGATTTAAAATTTTATAATCGAGTCACTGCATAAATATACGTTTTTAGCTTATCATGGTACATTATTACAAAAATTTTTTTTTTAATACGGTATAATCGTCACTTAGATATACCGCGGCGGAACACATTTTGAAGGTCCCCATTGGTCAAAGGTAGAAAATGCACTCTACTGGGTCGACATACAGCAACAGAAAATACACAGATTGGATTCAGAGACCGGAAACGTAACTACTAGAGAAATAGGTAACGTAAGTTCAATTATAAAAGAAAGTGAAAATACTTTGCATGTTGAATGAAACTACTTTTACAGATTTTATCGCATTTAATTTGTTTTTGACTCCTGACGTTTCGAATGCTTTGCGCGCTGCCATGGTCACGGTAACTGAGTGACTGAGGTGATGTCATAATTTACCCGGAGTACCTTGCTTAAACATACCTGTATTTTTTTTTATTTTCTTATGCTTTAGGTTACGGCCCTGTGTCCCTTGTGGTAACAGTTAAGGACAATCCAAGGTTAGTTCTAATAACCGTCCGCACAGAAGTTTACCTCATGCCATGGGATGCACCAACAACGGAGAGTTCTCTGAGACTTTTGAGCGTCGTTGATTTGGGTCTGCCAGATAACAGATGTAACGATGGCAAGGTCGACGCTAGGGGCCGACTTTGGTTTGGTGAGAAGTTTTTTTTTTTAAATTATTGATATTATCAATACGGCTGCTCTGATAACATCAGCCCGATATAGACAACAATCAGAGAATATTATGCAATCGCGAAGTTTACGCAACGGATTAGCAATTAAAAAATAAAGAGTTTTAATTTTGAATCCTCAAAGTAGAATGAAACAACAAATATATTCAGCAATTGAAATAATAATATCTATGTATAACTAGCGATCCGCCCCGGGTTCGCACGGGTGATAACTGGATCTCGACAACAGCGCCACCTAACGGGTCCAATTGTGAATCTAATCCATCCACCCACTCAAACGCGCACAAAAATTTCATCAAAATCGTTCGAGCCGTTTTCGAGTTTTAGGAAGACTAAAGGACTGCAATTTAATTTTTTTTTTATATAGAGATGACAATAGTCCACTGCTGAACATACGCGTCTCCCAAGGAACGCTACAAATCACGGTCCTGAGCCAATTGCGTACATCGACTTCCTGGTCAATTCATTCAGTAAGGGGAGATGGGGTGTCCTACACTCAAGAAACTCCTTTTTAAAGGTCGGCTTATTGGGAATTCAACTAACTGTGTCGGTAAACTTCGTAATAACTAAGCAGCTAGAATAAAAATTCAACTTTTTTGCAGGTACAATGGGCAAAGAAGTTTGCTCAGTAGTTGATAAGGACCAGGGCACATTTTACATGTTGGATGCTCACAACTACCTGGACCCTGTGGTGCGGGTTCGGCCAGTGTCGATATCGAACGGCATCGCGTGGACCAGCGATAACAAGTTCATGTTCTACATAGACACACCAACGAGGAATATCGATGTGTTCGACTTCAATTTAGAAGAAGGGACTATTCGTATGTTTGTTTTACATTTGTTTCATAGAAATAGGGGTGACAAACTAACAAACAGTCCACCTATTAGTAAGTAAATGCTGTGGCCCACATACGCCTACATTTATCCTTGGTACGGATGGGACGCTTCTTCACCAATAAAACGTGTTTCCAGCTCTTGTAAATTGCTATACGAAACCCATTTGGTGCTATTTTACGCTGTTATTGTGTGACATCGGCCGACTGAGTTCCATCGGCTATTTTCACGAACTTTTTAAATGTACTTTTTTTTATAGAATTAGTGTGACAAACGAGCACACAGTCCACCTGATGGTAAGTGGTTGCTGTGGCCCATAGACATCTACGTCTATTTTCTTTGCCTCTTTTACAGTAAAAAGGGTCTCCGGTTCTTAACACTCACCATACGAAACGCTAATACGCATTAAGCTGCTATTTTACGCTGGTATTCTGTGAGAGCGTGGTTCTTCCCCGGTCTAGGGGACCTATTCGTGCTACAACTATACTATTAATATAGCTGCAGCATGACTCTACCACGTAAACAGTAAAAAACTTTACTGTTTACTTTCTAATACAGTAAAAAACTTTACTGTTTACTTTCTAATACAGTAAAAAATAATGCATAGTACCACGAATAGTGCAAGTTGCAGTTGTATTTTAGTAAAAAGTTACAGCCTATTATAACGTCCCACTGCTGGACAACAGGGCTCCTCTCATTTCTAAGAGGGTTTTAATAATTTTAGTAAAATATTATAATATTATGTGTTTAGTTATGTTACGTTTTTCGTGTTATTTCTTATTGCAGGTAACAGAAGAACGCTTTTCAGCTTTAAAGCAAACAACGTAACTGGATTTCCAGATGGCATGACTATTGATCGGGAGGGGAACCTATGGGTTGCATGTTTCGATGGCGGAAAGGTAAGAAAATATCCATATAAAAATCCTCTAGCATAACATATCGCTATAAGGCTGACAAACATACGAAACAAAGGATAATAATCGCTTTTAACTACAATCGCCATTTTGCTAGTCAAGTCTGGAAATTTCGGCAAATCTACCATATTAACCAGGAGACTCAGATTCAGCATTATAGACTGATGACGACGATTCACGTCGGCGGCAGAAGTGCCCAAGTGTAGTGCATTTGGCAATACGAGCATCAAACCAACGGCGTGGGATGGCGATACTGGTTCCCGTTTTACCTGATAGAGCCACGCTACGGAAGAACATGCTCGCACAAAGTTTCAACGTGAAATATATCATAATAATGCCGCTGTTTCATATTTTAAGTAACAAGAACCGGCACCCTTTTTAATGGTAACGAGACTGTCCTGTCTTTGTATTCAGGGGTGAGTGAGTGAGTGAGTGATTTTTTTTATATAGCCTTTTTATTTATGTTATATACACATATATGTAGGTGGTTTTATGGGCTACAGAAGCCACTTACCATTGGATAAATTAAGTGCTGGTTTTTGTATAAAATAAGAATTAAGGAAGAAACCCGCGTCCAGGAATGGCCTGTGGTCATAATGAAAATATAAAAAAAGAATTACAAAGTCAAACTTCTCAGTTGAAACCCAGACTCAGACTAATGGAGATACAATTAAGGACATACATTGCACTGCAACACTAAGCGGCTGACGCCGTAAACCAAAACATGCACTCACATACATACATGCATGTAAAATCTTTTGCAACTGACGCCATGGTTTTAGGTGTGTGTGTGTGTGTGTGTGTGTGTGTGTGTGTGTGTGTGTGTGTGTGTGCGTGCGTGCGTGCGTGCGTGCGTGCGTGCGTGCGTGCGTGCGTGCGTGCGTGCGTGCGTGCGTGCGTGCGTGCGTGCGTGCGTGCGAGCGTGCGTGCGTGCGTGCGTGCGTGCGTGCGAGCGTGCGTGTGCGTGTGTGTGTGTGTAGCATTTACCAGCGCACTTTTAGGGGCTATTGATAAGAAAAGAAAGCAAAAAGACATTTGCGAGTGCATGTCAAAAAGTTGAGTTTAAAATGTGTGCAGCGCTTCATCTATCGTTCTTTATTAGTCTGAGTTTGCAAAAGTGAAATATTTTTTTTTATTTCTATAAATAGTGCCTGTACTACAAATGTAAAGTTTTCAGGTAATTAAAATCGACTCCAGAGCTGGCAAACTACTGGAACAACATAAACTTCCAGCAAGCAAAGTGTCATCAGTTGCATGGGGTGGCCATGACTTGGAGACATTATATGTAACTACAAGTAATGTGGGGCTCAACAGTGTGGAACTTGCTCAGCAACCAGACGCAGGAGCACTGTTTGCAATAGAAGGCACAGGATCAAGGGGACTGCCGGAAAATCAATTCGTTTTTCCTGGTGCTGCTGAATACTAACTAAAAATCTAAATTAAAATACTATGTGAAACTTTTAAGCATGACAGACATTATTCATTTTATTATAAACCGGCTTAAAAAAAGAGGAGGTTCTCAATTCGGGTGTTTATATTTTTTTTATGTATGTTTGGGCATAACTCCGTCATAGAAAGAGTGATTTGCAAAATTATTATTTTTTTGTTTCAAAGAAGTTAAATTTTTTAAAGATCTGACGATGAACTTCGGAGACAGACAACGAAATTCTTCAATAAATGCCGGCAAATCAACCGTGATTGCCGGTATCACATATCTATGCATTGTTTACGCAATCACACAATATAACATCACGATACACCCTCATTTCTGTCAAAGCTGTTCTTGAAGTCAGTTTTTACTTTTTCAAAAGTTTCAAGCAAAATATGAACATTAATCTTGTTTTGCTTGTAATAAAAAGACAGTTTTGTATGTAAACTGTATTTTTATTATTAGTTTAGGGTTATATTTTTTGGTTATATGGGAATTTATTATATTATTTTGTAGGCTATAAAATACCCCCTTTGAAAACTTATCCCCTCCTAATTAAATTATAAGCAAACTTGCACAAGTTTAATTTCTTACAATCAATATTCTAGTTATGTAAAAATATCATACATCTCATTTTAGTCAAACATGAACTAATTTACTGATGTTTTATTTGTAGTTGATTTTTAGATTTGAAATATTTACTCCTTTTGTTTTTTGTTTAGATACCTAACTGAAACCTGTTGTATGCTTTATATTTAAATTTTAGAAAGTAGTACAGCTGATTTATTATATTATATGCATATACAACCTTCAACCCAATAAAGGAAGATAGATGGAGTGCTGCATACATTCCATGGGGAGCTGAAACCATGCTCAACTTCTTGACATGCACCCATGCATAAATCTTTTTCTTTCTTTCTCTAGCAGACACACATAAGCAAAACCATGTTGTTGGTTGCAAATGAGTTTAGATTCATATGTGCGCATGAGAGTATGTCCTTATAAAAAGTTGAGAATGGATTTGGTGTCAATAAAAATGTATGCAGTGCTTGATGTATATTTATTTTTTGGTCTAATATACAACCATAAAATAAACTTTGTCATTGAGGAAGTTCCTAGAAGCAAGTAAAATAAAAAATTCATAGGGACAAAGTCAGTCTCAGTTTGTAAAACTGACTAATCTAAAATATGATTATTGACTGTATTTTTGGTTTGATTTTTGTTCACCCTACACAACATAATTGCCTGTCTTATTGTAACAGTAATATTCTTATTGTGCATCCATAGCACAGTCATATGTAATATATCAACTGTGATTCAGTAATGAAATATCAATATTACAAAATTACTCACCGGAAGCCTCAAAAAGGGTGGGTCTGAAGCATTCTTTCCAAGCTTGTTCTCCTGATACTGTATAAGTTGGATGACCAGCTGTGCCAAGCCCTCTTTTGTTGGTGGGTCTGTTTGTACATGCTGCAATAAGCAAAATATTAACAAGAAAATACAGTGACACTTAAAACTTGTTAAAATAGAATAGAATAATTTTTATTTATTATAGATTACAAATAATAAAGTCATTTATCCTTTAATTACTGGTTTCGAAAAAACCTTAGTCTTGGTAAGAGCCAACAAGAAATAGCAGGACTCAAAAGTATTTACAATGTAGCACAATCAAATATAACAATATTTAGAAACAGCATAGTAACAATTACCTAATTCTCAGGGGTTATTATAATTCATATCAACTGACTACCACCTACAATTTATCCAAACCAATACTACTTATTACTTTTCGACATGGTAGAGCTATGCTGCAGCTATATTAGTGGTATAGTTGTGGCATGAATCGGTTGTCTCGAATGGGGAAGAACCATACTCTCACAGAATACCTGCGTAAAATAGCAGCTGAACTCCACTGTTTCGTATGGTGAGTGTAGCGAACCGGAGACCCTTTTTACTTGAAATGAGGTATTCCATCTTAGTCCTCACGGGTGAGAATGCATCTGCAGTTTGATTCGTAATCGAGGATAGATGTAGATGTCTATGGTCCACAGCAACCGCTTACCATCAGGTGGACTGTGTGCTCGTTTGTCACCCATATTATATAAAAAAAACTTAGAGAATAGATCCATTTCTTTTATGAAAGGCCAACAACATACCTGCAATTCCCCTATTGTTGCATTTGTACATGGGAAGTGATAGTTACTTACTATCTACTATCTATATTACCCTTCACTGCATCAGATTTGATAGAATAAAATATAATCATCTTTATTCAATATAGATTACAGTATATAATACTTATTGAAAGTAATTTTTTACTTTTACCACTGGTTTGCAAAAACCCTCTGTCCTGGGAAGAATCAGCAAGAAACCCAGTGGGTCTTTTTTTAAAAAAGCATAACTTAAAATATAATATTTTATACAATTGTTATGAAAACATATAGAAACTGTATGGTAGCAATCACCTCATTCCCAGGGGTTATTATCAGTCAAACCTTGGTTATAAATTTCTCTTATGGCTACTTTTCCAAAACAAAGATAATTTCTATGTCAGTCACACCACAAATCCTTGCTAAAGTACACCAATTCCTTCCAAAAATGATTAGCAAGGCTATTGAAATCAAAAAACATCCTAATTTCAATAGAGAAAATGGTTGGGATCCAAGAAAACAGTATGGGACACATTAGAACAATCATATCAAAAACAAAGCTTACCCCAACAATTATGTGCAAATTTTTTGAATAATTTCGGTACCCACCTAGTAAGTTATTGCAAATCTGACATACTAAATTGTGCTGATGTCATAATATTCTGCTTCAACTTGCTTACCTAACTGTATATTGCTTAAAATTCTATACATCTATCAAGAGAAATATTAGTGAAAATGTATTAAATGATAACGCAATTATATGAATTTACCAAGTTCCAATCACTTTATAATTAATTTGTGTAGAAGCTAGGAGTGGTTGTTACAAAACGTAACCAGTTATTGAAACTTTATCGTCACCAGCCAGTCCTAAGCCTGGATAAAGCACGAAAGAAATTTCATTGCAATATAAATCATTTTAACACTAAAATCTCCATAACAGTAAACTTAAGAAGCTAATGTTAGATCTGAAAATATATTATTCGATCCTAGAGTAATTTTATATTTACTACGATGAATATTTTGTAAATAAACTAACCTTCTTGCAATTTTTTTGTAACCAAACACGAATTTGGTCAAATTGTGCTAGTGTTTCTGGCGCTTGGAAGAAATCCACATTAGGACCACCATCCTTTTTCGGGCCTAAAGTTGCCATTTTGATGAATAGCGTTTAATTAACACTATTACTTTAATTTTTACAAATAAAGCACTTTTTATTTATATAAATACCGATTACTGGTTCAGCGTCGGTACTTTCCTACATAGATAAATATATATGTAGCAAGATACTTTCCTATATAAAAAAGTACTCTGTGGTCGGTACCAAGCTACCAAAATAGGGATCGATGTCAAAAATGAAAACATCGATGATTTAACATCGATGTTGCCTCATGTCAAACATCGAAACATCGATGTCAATAAACCCATAATCGATTAGGTGGTGGATTATTGGGTACTTGCGAACACTGCGAACCCGAGAAATCAATATCAACTAAATCTTGCATCTCCTCTAAAATATTTAAAAATTTGAATGATTCAGAATGCTTGAACGCATCAATAACCTAAAAATATATCATTATGGTGTATCAAAATTAACTGTCAAGTGTCAACCTAGTATACAGTTATCTGTGATGTCAACTGTAATGTCGCAGTTGTCACTGATTTCGTTTTACTATTGATGTCGTTGTCCGTTTCTTTGTCGGTTGTTTTAAAAAAAAATCCGATGGTTCATCTTAAACACGATCCAATTCACGTTTAGAACAATGTTATTGGTTCTACTTATATATAATAAAAAAAAACTTACGGTGAGATATTTGACCACAATCGCTATATCAACGCCATCTGAGCGGTTATCTACCGACTTCAAAAAGGAGGAAGTACTCAATTCGACTGTATGTTCTTTTTTTTAATGTGTGCAACCTCATAATTTTTTTCTGGGTGAACCGATTTCGATGATTCTTGTTTTATTTGAAAGCTGGTGCTCGTCATGTGTTTCCATATAAATTTGACTTATATAAGTCTGACCAATAGTTTTTGAGTTATCCTTAATAATTTATATTGAAGTCAGTTGTACAAATTTTTTGTTTTTTAATTATTTTCAATACCTGGCTCAACTCTTTATCAAAATTACTATTTGTTCAATCAATCGGCAATAATATTGGACTATATAACAAATGAACTAGATATTTATGAACTTCTTCAATTTTTTTTAATTACTGTTTTACGTTACATTGTTTATTAATTTCTTTTATTTCATTAATTATAAACCATAACTAACATGACAATTTTTTTATTCATCTAATTCTAACCTATAAAATACATGTGCAAAAAACATCGATAATGGCCAACACCGATGTTTTGAGTAGGATAAACATCGAACAACGATGTTGAGCTATTGATGTCAACAACGATGTCATCATCGATGTTTCTATAACATCGATCATCCCTATACCAAAACCAATTTTTTTATAGCTGTTGTCAAAAGAACTCATAGACATAGTATCTTATAGACTAAACATTCAGTGACGTCATCAGCGTGTGAAAGGAATGCACGTATATAGTTAGACATAAGAGTAAGGGAGAAGCAAATCTATATTTCATGTCTTTTTCTAGGTATGCGTTTTTGATTGTTTTCCCTCCTTTATTTGACATTAACGATGTCAAGCTCTTTTGAATAATATTGATATTATAAGCAAACAGGTAATTGAATTTAGTGTTTTTTGTGGATCTTATTTATTAGGTAAGGTGAAAAAGATGGTAAGTTGTAGCATTTTAGGATGCAACAGTATCAGTCAACGAAAAATTGATAATATTACCTTTCATCGGTAAGTTTGTTTTGTGCTTACATTTGCTATTTGTACTGATTAATATCTATTGTTTTGAATATAAAGTGTAATATTTCATGTTTTTAATGAACTTCGTGATGTATTTTGTCAAATATTTAGATTCCCAAATTGTAAATTTTTCACGATAATGCTCCTTAATTTGAACGGTCATTCGAAAGCTTAAAGTCATAACAAACGTGTACTTTTTGATTTGGTAGGATTATAGAAACTTTAGGGATATCAGCGAGTACAATAAAGTTTTCGCATTGTTCAATAATAATATTTATTGTGATTAGTAGTTATATCCATAAATATGAATCACATAATGTTATATGTATACACTTTTATGTTCAGCTTTAAAGGAAAGTCCTTATTGCCCTACAACTCTTCAATCATTTTCTATATTACATAGACTTCACAAATAATATGTAAGTATCAAGCTGAAAACATGTTTGGATTCAAGTACATAAATATTGGGCAAAGTATATTTAATTTCATAAAATATGTATTGCTTGAAATCAGATGCACAAAACTTTATTGCATTCCATTCATTCTATTATAGATTAGCAACAATTACATTACAATATTTATTCAAAAAATGTCATGCTAATATAAAAATAGATATAAATATAGATAAAATAATAAATAAGTCTTAATCTTAAGGTACACAATAACACAACAACATAAGATAATATTCTCAAATTCTCAATTAATGATGTAGAAAAAATTTGATCATAATATACTTACCATTACCATTAGTCAGTATCAAAAGTTATAGGTTTTGTGATAGTTGCCTAGCTTGGCAGGAGAATTGGCAACTGCAGTTATTTGGAGACAAACTGTGTGGGAGGTCTATGTTCAGCAGTGGAGGACATTTGTTAGGCTGTAAATGTATTAATTAACAATATCTAAATCTTAATATGTACATAATTTTTTTAAATGTTTAGTATGAATAATATTATCATTACATTTACATATACTTGCTATTTAAATAAATCAGTTGATATTGTTTTAATTGTTATAGGTATTGTGTTTATGCACAGATACACATACTTGATTTTTCTTTTGTTAAATACCTTGATATAAAAGTGTACTATATATTTAATATATTAATTTCTTTTAAATATATTATTTCACAACTTTCCTAAGGAATCAGCTATCAGTAACAGTTGGATAATCGCTACTGGTAGTGCTTATAGGTAACCAACAAAACTTAGCAGTGTATGCTCAAAACATTTTAAGCCTCATTGTTTTAGGTGGACTAAATATGCTTAACTTATGTAATTTATAATATAATTAAGATAATTTTTTAAATGTTATAATTTCTTGTTGTATCTTGTTGTTTCTCCATAAGTGATATAAGTTTGATCTTGTTGGTAGTTATGATTTTTGACATTGTTCTGTATGTATTAAAAATTGACTAGCATTGCTTATTTTATTTTCAAATGCTGACATTCTGTATTATTATGACTTGTAATAATTGGGGGCATGACAAAGACAAAATATTTATTTGTAGATGTATTGATTAAACATGAATCCTCATTTACAAATGTTGGAACTTTATCTGTACTACCATGTTTTATGCAAATAAAGATTTAAATAAAATAAATAAATAAGTAATTTAAAATCCTGACCTAAATATACAAATTAATAATTTATTATGCAATAATAATTGTAAAACTGACTGGGAATGCCTACCAATGGGACATTTAGTCCACCCTTAATCCCTTTTATAAAGGTGTTATAAACATTAATGTGTAAATAAATTAAGAAATAAGAGATAAGTATTACCTATCTAAGTATAGTTTAGGAGTTGTACCTTATTATTTATACCATTAAAATATATTATATACAAGGCAAATAATATATATATATATATATATATACCTAATCTGATTCTAACGACCAGCACCCAAGAATTTCTGCCATGAAAAGGTATAAATCAAGTTTACAAATGCATATTTTTGAGAAATTCTAAGGCTACTCAAACCAAGCATTACAACGAATGCTCTAGAAAGAAGACAAAAATTTTGTTAAATTTGTTGTTTATTAATGTGTTGAAAAATTAATAAATAATCGTTTGTTTATTTTAATTTTATTGAATTATATTTAATATATAATATAATTGTGTTTTCATTTGTTTTACTTTATGTAACATTGTTAATATTTCTAAAAGTTGTGTAAGTACGCAAAATTTAGTTCTTTTTCCTTTTTAAATTTCAATATATTTTCATTTAAATAGAATATATATCTTTACAGTCTATCAAAAGTCCACTGTTGAACATAAACATGATTATAGTTATTTGGCATAGTTTCAACGCTTGGAAAGCGGGTTGTCAACCATTATTTAGCTGTTATCAGGACAATGCTCGTCGCTGATCGTCGAAATCCAAAGAGTTTATTGAATGTCCAGTAAAATCGTCGATGCGCCGTTGAATACAGAATGATGATTCTGTTTTTACGCCGTTTCCGCCAGTAGTTTTTGTCACAGAATGTATTTTCAAGAGAAATTAATTAATCATCTGAATTATATAAGAACTTTTTTTATGGTAACAATTAAGTTTTTTGTATGAATGTAAGTGCTGTGAATATAAATAAACCCATAACGGGGGAAATGGAACAATATCTGGTAACCCAGTGAAAGTACCTCCCGCCTATTTCTATCTCAAAAGCATACGCGAATGCTTTATCTAGTCAATCCTCTATCTACGAAAGAACTGGAATATAGTGATGCGTAAGTTAAGGTAACTTGAGTTGCCTCAACTCGAGTTAACTCGAGTGGATACTAGGGATGTGAAAAAATAATCGATTTTAATATTAATCGATTATTATTTTGTTATAATCGATTTTTCGAAGTCGATTATTTTTATAATAAAAATCGATTTTTAATAAATCGATTTTTATGTAAATTACGCGTTTCAATCGATTTTTGTAATCAGAGTCATCTGTGCGATGGAACGTGAAGTAAGTTCAATAACATGAATAAGTCAATCAAAAGACGGCGCCACCTTTATGTATCTCTATGTATGTAAAACAGTTTCGCTTTTCGTATGTTTTCAACAGGTTTCTTCCTCTGCTAGGAGTAAAAGTATTCTGTGGTTTTCTTTCTTTCTTTGGTTAGTGTAAACAACTATATATAAACAATAAAAATGTCTTGTGAAACGCGTAAAAGTGACTGACAGAAGTATTTTATAATGAAAAAATGATAGCGGCTAACACGTCAATAGGCAAAAATACTGAATTGAATCTATATATTACGGCACCACTATCAAATCTCAAGGCAGATGCCCTCAATATATGGAGAAGCTCTGAAGGAACTTTACCTAAACTAACCGAATTGGCTTTTAAACACCTCTCAGTGATGGCCAGTTCCGCGCCAGCCGAAAGATTATTTTTGAAAGCGGGAAATATTGTCAGGAAAAAACGAAACCGTATTTTGGGAAAGAGACGAAGAAGAATGTTGGTGAAATGATTGTTTTTAAAGTCTTTAACTGAAAATTCATGGCAATATTTTTTTTACTTTTTTTGTTTACACTAGTGTAAAAAAAGATTTGTCTTTTATTTTAGTTTTGAGATCAAAAGGTTGTCGTCGGATTATTTATAATTATATTTTTATTTTATTTTCATTCTAATCCAATGTAAATGATACTGAACATTAGTGGCATAATGATATTTAGACTTTTTGTTTGTTCAAACTTAGTTTAAAAAAAACTATCGTTTACTAAAATTATGGTTTCTTAATGATTTCTTATATATACGCGAAGACTACACATTTAATGAAATTAATTTTTACGGATTTGATCACGCTTAATTTAACTTTTTAATTCCTGACGTTTCGGGTGCTTCACAGCACCCATGGTCGCGGGGGAACTGAGGTCTTTGACGTCCAGATGTCATAATTAGCCTGGCTAAATTCAGTTTTTGAATATTAATTTTTGGTCCGATCTACGCCGAATGAGCTTACAGTATCTTGAAGTCTTACAGTGGTATGCTTGGGTTTGGATTTAATTTTATTAATTATAGGATGCCAAGCAGATGGCAGCACCCATCCATCTTCTCTATTGAAATTAGGATATTTTTTAATTTCGATAGCCTAGCGCATCATCCTTGGTAGGAATCGGTGTTCTTTTGCGAGGATTTGTGGTTCAACTATGACATAGGGACGTCAAACACCTCAGTCTCCTCTGTGACCATGCATGCTGTAAAGCACCTGAAATGTGGGGAATTAAAAAGTTAAATTAAACGCGATAAAATCCATAAAACTTAGTTTAATTTATCGTTTCTGTTTATTTTGGTTGTAATAAATTGTTAAATGGCACTGAACATTTGTGGCAGTAATTATTTTTAGTTTTTTATTGTTCAAAGTTATATGTTAAAAAATTGTTCTGTAGTTTATTTCTAAAACCAGAAGATTATTTTCCGAATATAATTTTTTTTTTCGCAAAAATCGATTAT